ACCACCAAGAAGGCCCTCTGCCTCTTTCACTGTAACCTCGCTTCTCGCAGGGAGGGAACCACCAGAAGACCCTTGGAGCTGGACTTCAGTGTCCAGGCAGACTGGTGGAGGTGGAGATGGTTCTTCAGGTCTACTGGGCCTTTGAGGCTGTTTAGGGCTTTCAAGGTCAGCACCAACACTTTGAATTGTGCTTGGAAACGTACTGGGAGCCAATGTAGGTCTTTCAGGACCAGTGTTATGTGGTCTCGGCGGCTACTCCCAGTCGTCAGTCTAGCTGCCACATGCTCTCTCTGCCAGGGAGAAACCGCCCTCTCATACCCTCCAGCATTTCTCCAATGTTAATAGGGACATTCCTTAATAATAATGTTAAAAGAAAAAACTGCTCCCTTTCCCTTATAGGGTATTCCACAGCCCATATAGAGTCCTTGAGGGTTCCCTATCGGTAGGAGAAAAATAACAGCTTATATTGAGAAGCAAAGTGGCTAGTAAACCTGATATTTACTGAAGGAAAATAAACTGTTGCAACAGGGTCCCCACTCACCACACGCAGGAAGGAGGAAAACCCTGAACAGTGGTGCACAAGCCCTTATATAGACTCTTGAAATTGCCCACCCTGTCACCAAAGACCACCCCCCAAAACATCATATCACAGAGTCACAGGAGGAGGTGGTCTGCAGCAGAAATCCCGCCTGCCAAGATACCTGATAATGGTCACTGATTGCATTATCTGGGCAGCCTGGCCATTCTTTTGTGATGGTAAATACTTTAGCTCCTGAGTCCAGGTCACAGGTTCACCCTATTCATACACAAATACGCCCTTAAGACGGGATTTGTAAGCAAAAGGACAATGGGAAGGCTTTCCCCATTTTCCTCCCTTACTGCAGAGGAATATTTGAGGTCATTGGGAGAGTCAAAATGGCTTCAGGATTCTATCTATCTATCATCTATCTATCTATACACACACACATGTTGGAAGCCATCTAGATGGGCATGGTATAAGTTGTTTATTCTGTATTTGAGACCTTAAAATTCTTACAACAACAACAATAATAATAAACAACATACCCTGCCCATCTAGATGGCTTCCAACGTGTGTGTGTGTGTGTGTGTGTGTGTGTGTGTGTGTGTATAGATAGATAGATAGATAGATAGATAGATAGATAGATGATAGATAGATAGATGATAGATAGATAAAATAAAACATTAAACATAAAAAGCTTCCCTATGAATGGCTGCCTTCAAATGTCTTCTAAAGGTTGTATGGTTACCATATTTTTCGCCCTATAGGACGCACCGGCCCATAGGACGCACCTAGTTTTTTGGGGGGGAAATCAAGGGGAAAAATTTTATTTCCCCGCCAGGTTTGCGCAGCTATCCCCAAGCTAGAAGAGGGAGACGGAGCGCTCCGTCTCCCTCTTCTGCCTTCAGGGACAGCCTCTCTATCCTCCGTGGGGCAGCGGCTTGCCCCGCTGTCCCCCGAGTTTGTGGGGCTGGCGGGGGGAGAAGCAAGCTTGCTCCTCCCCCCCGCCAGCCTCCAGATCAGGTCGGGGAATAGCGGGGTGGTGGCGCTCCGCCTCCCCGCTATCCCGCGAGCTTGTGGGGCTGGCAGGGGGGAGAAGCAAGCTTGCTTCTCTCCTCCCCCGCCAGCCTCCAGACCAGGTCGAGGAATAGCGGGGTGGCGGCGCTGCGCCTCCCCGCTGTCCCCTGAGCTTTTGGGCTGCAGGCTGCTGCCCGCAAGTCTTGCGAGCCCACGGGACATCCCACCGGGCTTGCAAGACTTGCGGATAGCTTCCTGAAGCCTGGAGAGCGAGAGGGGTCGGTGCACACCGAACCCACTCGCTCTCCAGGCTTCAGCGAAAGCCTGCATTCGCCCCATAGGACGCACACACATTTCCCCTTCATTTTTGGAGGGGAAGAAGTGCGTCCTATAGGGCGAAAAATACGGTATTTATCTCCTTAGCTCGGTGGGGTCACATAACTCCATACCCTCCAACATTTCTCCAATGAAAAGAGGGGAAAGCAGGCCAGTAAGGAAAAGCAGGACATTCCAGGATCAAATCAGAAACTGAAACGGCTCCTGTAAATCTGGGACTGTCCCTGGAAAATAGGGACAATTGGAGGGTCTGCTATTTTTGCACTTTTCTTGAGTGTTTTTGCCTGGTTGGGATGAGATATTGAGCTCTGTTAATGCCTCTCGCTTGCCTGGTCAGGGAATAGAGAGCAGGGGGTGAGAGGCTGTGTAGAAATGGTTTCCAGCTCTGGAAACAGGTCCGCTTGAGAGCAGTGGGCTGGATCCTTACCTTCCCCTGCCCACCACAGGCCACGCACCTTGTCAGCCACCATGACATCAGGGTACCCATTTCACAGCATCATAGAATTTCCCCCCATGCAGACGACAAACTGATTGCCAGGACTTGCTATGCGCTGCGCATGGGAAGCGCCTTTTGCCCCAGCAAAAATGGATGTTTGGGTCTATTGGGTCTTTGCATTAAGGCATTTTCTGATGCTGATAAGATGCTGGAGGTGCAATGATGGAGATGTCTCATTGAGGCATGATGCAGGCGTTTTGTAGGGTTGCCGTATTTCAAAAAGTAAAAACCAGGACACCCCAAAAGTTGTTGAGTTTTTTCTTTTGTTTGCTTGTTTTGTTGAGTTTTTCTTAGGAAAACAACCTGAAAGTTGTTGAGCAATTCTGCCTTTGAAAACCCGGACATATGGCAGCCCTAATTTTCAGTGATACAATATTATTAATTAAATTTGTATACCACCAGTGCTTTTTTTCTTAAAAAAAATGTTTAGGGGTCCTCTCATTTTGACTCAAGAAAATAATATACAGGAAAGGAAATAAATACAGTAAATGGATAAAAGTACAAAGATTCACAGAATGTTTAGGAATATGCGTCCCCCTGTGTCCCACCCCCGAGAAAAGCACTTTCATCTGTAGATCTCAGGGCTGTTCACAACATACTGTCCTTGGTTTGGAGTTGCTATCTGCATCAATTTTGTGTTGGAAAATTCCTTGATGTCTGCAGACAGCCATGTACCCTTAAATCGTATTGCTGTAGTATGACGGGGCTTGATTTTATAAGCTTTTATGGTCACAAGGAGATGCCTGTTTCAAACCTGAAAGGGTAAACACTCACCATCATTAGGCAATGGTATGAAAATCTCACACACCCCATTTTGGAGCATATTTTCATAGAGGCATCAATTTCACGCAGAAGCCTATTCAGTCATTTGGATGTATTGACTTCTGTGTTTAAATTAAAACTTTTAATGGAGCTTTTAATGGAAGCTGATGGGTTGTTCTCTCTCTCTCTCTCTCTCTCTCTCTCTCTCTCTCTCTCTCTCTCTCCATTTCTACCAACCTTACTGTATGCTTGTGAAACCTGGACCTCTTATAAATGCCATCTCCAGCTCCTCGAAAATTTCCATCAATGGTGTCTCTGGAAAATTTTACACATCACTTGGGAAGACAGGGAAACTAATGCCAGTGTACTGGAAGAAGCAAAGATCACCAGTGTTGAAGCAATGACTCTTCAACATCAACTTCGTTGGACTGGTCATGTTGTGCGGATGCCTGATGATCGTCTGCCAAAGCAGCTACTCTATTCCGAACTTAAAAATTGAAAGCGTAATGCGGGTGGTCAACAAAAGAGGTTTAAAGGCTCTCTCAAGGCAAATCTTAAAAAATGTAGTATAAACACCAACAACTGGGAAACACTGGCCTGCGAGCGCTCCAATTAGAGAACAGCCTTTCCCAAAGGTGTCACGGGCTTTGAAGACGCTCAAACTCAAGACGCAAGGGAGAAACGCGCTAAGAGGAAGGCATGCTTGGTAAATCCACACCGTGATCAACTCCAGCCCGGAAACCTATGTCCCCACTGTGGAAGGACATGTGGATCCAGAATTGGCCTCCACAGTCACTTACGGACTCAGACTCACTTTAAAAATCATGTTTATGGAAGACAATCTTACTCGGCTACGAGTGATCACCAAAGTAGAAGAAAGTAAGTTAAAAATCATCTTTACCCGCTTCACACCTGTCTTGAGTCGTTAACATGATTATTATAAGCCCCTCCTTCCATGAAACTGCAGGGCCGGTCACAGCGCTGCAAAATGCTACACGTATGAAACACGTTAAAACAAATTTGATATGGCATGTTGGGTCTAGGGCAGCTGTGTGTGACCCAAACAAATGTGCCGCAAATTTGGCTAATACCTGGAGACTCCTAAGCCCTGTACTAAGGGCCAGGTGAGAGTCTCAGAGGTGTTTGGCCTTGGATTTTAGGAGATATGCCCGTTGTTCCTGGTCTGGCAACCTTTTTTCCCTCTCCCTGGCAACTTCCCCCAAATCATAGTCGCACCAGCAGCGTATCTCTTCTTTGTCATATCTAAAAATGCAAGAAGGGCCTTTACACTCGCCAGAATCTCTGCTCTGCCCTCGCCGGTCCTGGAAGGAGCCTTTAAAAAAGTCCCATATGCTCAGAGACTTTGCGCCTGTTCATTGAGGGAGATAGGAAGCCCAGAGCACTTGTTCTTTAAATGTCCCTTTTATGAAGAGGCACGTAGTGAGACCATTGATCCCCTGCTGGTGAGGCTCGCTGACCTGCCGGAAAAGCAAAAATTCAAACTTTTCCTGTTAGGCAAAGATCAGAAGACGACCTGGATGGTCGCCAGATTCTGTGTACAGATCTGTAGGCGCAGACCATCCCCAGACCCAGAATAGTTTAAGAAAATCCCCAAACTCAGTTCTATGGGTGACTCTGAGTCAGCTCCCTGTGGTAGTTTATTGTCGTACATTGTTTTCAAATTTATTGTTGTACAATGTTTTAATTGTTTGTTTTCCTTCTGTGAATGTACCCCCAAGTGTGTTTTATAAGCTGGTCTCCGACCGTAATAAATTATCTATCTAGTCCCCCAAATCAGTGAGGGGTAGGTTGCCCATAAGCAGCAGAAACAAGGTGGGTGGGAAGGGGAAAAAAACCCCACAGCAATTTCGCTTTCAAGATTGCTTTTATTTATCAATGTACAGAAACGAAACCCACAGGCTTGAAAGCCACCGATAACACCCTTAACATAAAAGACCCCCCCCCAACCTTCTCTCCCCGACAAAACACCACAAACCATCAATAAAAATAAATAAGACAAAGGGCCGAGTCTGAGCTAGGGTGGAGAGGGGTGGCTGGTTTGAGGAGGTCAGAAGTTCCCCCTCCTCCCCCTGCTTTGCCCATATAAATAACATTTTGATGTAGAAAAAAATTAATAATAATAGTAATGACAGATAACAGAAAAAAGCTGTGTTGGCTGATGAGCTGGGTTAAGAGCAGTAGACTGTTTGTAAACAGCTGGATGGAAAACAGCTGGAATCTGCCAGCCTCAAGGTTTAGCAAATGATGTTTCCACAACCAAGGGCCTGAAACATTTGATTCCTAAAAGGTGCCAAGGCTCAGTCTGGCTGCCGGGTGCCCACTACAACCTGGAAGTTCAAACTGCAACCACCCCTGCCCCCTTTCAGTTCCTCTGTGGGACTTAGAATGGTAGCGTTGGAAGGGACCCCAAGAGTCATCTAGTCCACCCCTAGATTAGCAGTAGAAAATCAAGACGCAGCCTGTTTCCTAGCCTGCCGTTTTAGGATCCCAAAGACAGCACGTTTCTAAGGCGCTACCTGCCCTGCACACTGAGGTCTAGCAACATGGCCAAGCTCATTAGGGCACCTTTAGCTTGTACACATTGCCCAAGGGTAGATTTGAGTGTGTAGACTACATTTTTGTTGTTGATCTCACTGGCTCTTGCTTATAGTGTCTGTTTTAAATCGGAAGCTCATATTTAATGCTCGTTCTGCTCTTTATTTTAATCAAAAGCGGGATCTTCTAAATCAAGAGAAAAAGAAAGAACGTGGAATTCAATTTCTGGAGATGTAGCTTTGCTCCTCCATTCAGAATGACTGAACACTTTTCTTTCTTTTTCAAGAACAAGTGCCTAGTCTTCATCGCTGTCAAAGTGTGGGAATGCCTGCTAAGAAGCCAGAGGGGATTCTTAAACAACTTTCAGCACTCTCTCAAGCCCCCCCTTCCCTTGCACCTGGCCCAAGCAATATAAATTAATCTGAGGAAGAGGAAATCATGCAAATTGGAATGAGCTGCATTTTCATCCTGGCCACTGTTTCCCCCATGCAGAACCTTTAAATAATGAGCATCGCTAAACCCATGCGCATATGCGTGCGCACTCTCTGGTAATGCAGTGGTGGGAACCCATGGCTCTCCAGAAGTTGTTGGAGACCCCCAGCTCCCAACTGCCCCCGCCAAAATGATCCAGGGACACTGGAAGCTGGAATCCAGGCACGGCCGAAGTCGTCTCTCCCTGACAGAGGGGTTTTCGGAACAGAGAGAGATTCATCGGTTGCTGGTTTCTACCTCCAGAAGCTGGGAGACTAAGAGGAGGAGAAGGGGGCTGTCTCCTGCTTGTGAGCTTTCTAGAGGCGTCCGGGTTGCAGGGGGTCAGACTAAATGACCCCTATGGATCCTTTCCAACTCTACCATTGCAGTGATTCTGCGCCTGGAGACAGGAGGCTGAACTAGACGGAACTATTCCAGAAATGTCTGCACAATCTTGGGACTTCCCAGGACCAAGGCGGCGAATCCAGGTGCGTTAACAGGTGATGCGAGATGAAAGGACCAGGTGGGGCGAAAGCAAGACCTTACCTGCACGCCTATTTCCCAGGAGGAAAGACAGGAGTCTGTTTTCCCACCTCCTCGTGTTCCCAAACACGGGAACAGCGTTTGCTCACGGAGGATGAAGGGGCCCTTTGGTTCCCTTTGAACTCCACCATTCTACGATTCGATGGGCACGATCCACGAGAAAGGCTTTCCAGCCCCACCGACGTGGCCAGGGACCAGACAATCGCTCGAGCCTGCAACCCTATGTACGCGCTTACTTGGGTGTAAGTCCCATTGAATTCAGCAGGGCTTGCTGCTGAGCAGACAGGTGCTGGGTGGCATTTGCATGGAGGGCTTCCCATGGATCAGGCCCCAAGGGCGTTTCCAGACACACACAAAAACAAGCGCTCGCTTTCGGTCAATACCAGGAGAGCAATAGATTGCTCTCTAAATAAAGCCCCCCCATTAAAATGAGGGTGACATGAGGGAGTCAGGAGCCGGGCCACAACATGCTTGCATCTTGTGGGGGTGCGCATGACATTGGAGGAAACCCGTTTCATAACTGCACTAAGCTACCATAATAGCTACTTAGGGGGCAGGTGGGGAATCGTAGGGATGAACGCCCCCCCTCCCCCAGTGGCAGAAAGGTGTGTTGTAGCGCCAAGTCTAGGACCTGGGAGACCAGGGTTCGAATCCCCACTCAGTCCACTGGGTGACCTTGGGCCAGACCTCCCTCTCTGCTTGGTTGTGAGTCTAAAACAGGTGGAGACGAACCACGTTTGCCGCCTTAACTTCCTGGGAGGAAAGGCACGATACAACTCAAAGAAACAAAAGCAAATATTGCTGGTTTGGTGCTGAGAAAACCCTATGCCCTCATGACCGGATCATGTACAGCAGCTCGGGAAAGCGAAAAACTTCTAAAGCATCTATTTCCTCTGCAGAAGAATTTGGCCCTGTGTTAGATCTATGGAGGATATTCGCCCCTGGGGGGGAAAACCCCCCCAAAAACTATTTTTTCACTGTTCAGAAGCCTACCCAGCCTGGCTGGCCCTAGAGAGCTGATTCCATGCCATGTAAACAAAAGCGCACATGTAGTGGTATTCCAAGTTTGGCGGCCGAAAGGAGCCCCTCCCCTAAAGCCCCCACCGCGTTGCTTCCCTTAGGTCCTTGCGCAGGGGGGAAGAAGGGCAGGGGAGAGTCTTTGCAATGCCAAGGGTGTCCTCCAGAGTTCGACTCTCCAGGTGGCACGGACGGCGTTACACCCATGGAGGGCCTGCCCCATGGCTCTGCTCCAGGACGCTGGCGGTTTCCCAAGAGCATGGTGGGGGGAAAACGAGGGCAGTCCTTCACCTTCTTCAGCGCCCAGCGCTCGCAAGCCTCGGATGATGGCTGTTTGGCCGCAGGCCTCCCCTTGATCCAATGTCCCATCTGCGTCGCGGCGGCTTGGAGTCAGATGATCACCTGCAAAGGTGGGAGAGAGGACGGTGAGGTCGGCAGGAGGCAAATGGCAGAATTTGGCCCTCCTTGAAATGGTACCTTGCACAGAATCTGTTCGACTTCTGAAACATTCGGAAACTAAAGTGCGGCTTCTGATTGGCTGCAGGAAGCTCCTGGAGCCAATCGGAAGCCCTGTCACACTTTCGGCTTTCAAAAGTACGATAGAAAACCGGAACACTCACTTCTGGTTTACGATAGTTCAGGAGCCGGAACGTTCGACTCCCAAGGCGTTGGGGAGCCAAGGTACAACTGTACAGTGATACCTCTGGATACGAACGGGATCCATTCTGGAGCCCCGTTCACATCCTGAAGTAAATGCAAGCCATGACTGTGCGTCTGGATGTGCACGGGTCACGTTTCGCCGCTTCCACGCATGCGCGTGACGTCATTTTGAGCGCCTGTGCAAGCGACGAAACCCAGAAGTAACGCACTTAACTTGAAGCTACTTCAACCCGAGGTATGACTGTATACACTAGAAATCTCCTTCTTTTTTTTCTTTGTTTCTTTGTAATCTTAAAATTCTCAATAAATATCATTTTTTTTTAAAAAAAGAAATCTCTAAAGCAGAGTTTCCCAAACTTGGGTCTCCAGCCGTTTTTGAACTACAATTCCCATCATCCCTGACCTCTGGTCCTGCTAGCTAGGGATGATGGGAGTTGTAGTCCAAAACCATCTGGAGACCCAGGTTTGGGATATTCTGATCCAAAGGGCAGAGCTCGAATGACCGTTCCCTGCCCCTTATATTTGACATCACTGTGTGTCATTTTAGGGGGTGAAACTTAATTTTTGCAAATTTCTTCAAATATGTTTCTGGGTGTGAGGGATTCAAATCTGCTATTATTTTTGTGACTGGACAGCATGTAGCTTGGCAAGTCTACGTTTGATGAAGCACACTGCTTTCGGAAAACCAAAGAACTTTTATTTTGCCTTCTGAAACTGTTAGGCAATGCTAAAGAATAACAACTAAAAATGATATTAGTATATAATAAACCTGCAAGCCCTTGGCAATTGTTTTCAATGACTTCCATGCAACTTTACCTACAGAGCAAACCTAAATTATATTAATTTAACCAAAATACCTTTCGAATCACGTGACAACTTTTTAGCAGCCTTCATTTTGGGAATTTCAAAGTTTAAAAATTCAACGTGCCGTAATATGGCATGATTTTATTTCTCATACAAATATTGAGGCATATGGTTTTTCAGTGCCACCATCTGGCTCCTAAAACCTTTGTTCTCAATAATAATGGAACTCACAAGTGGAGAATACTATTATTTTTATAAATCATTAGTATTTGTAAAGAGAATCTTTGTATGAGTTAATTAATACTTTATTATTTATATAGCCCTTTTGATTTGCACTATAATATGGTACTTTTGTGCCTCCGGGCTGTGGCGCTTTATGGTTTAAATGCCTGACTCATCGTTTCTTTCCTTTATGTTCTGCTTGCAACTTTTTTGGCACATAAATTATTATTTTAAAAAAGGAAGCCAATGCTAGAAATCCACAGAGGAAAGGAAAGGCGGAGAATAGGGAAGAGCTGAACAGATTTGCCTTGCAGGTCACCCAGATGAACTGGAATGTCTGAATATTCGACAAGCATTTGCCATAAGAGGATTTCGCAGCATCCACCAGTCTTGGGCAGCTGACACGCAAAAGGACATTTTTCTGCTAATCCCACCCCTTCCTTTAACCCCTTTAATAGGAGACTTAAACCAAGGCAGCCCAATCTACTTGCCTTCCACCCTGAGACTTTTACTGTCCGTGTCCAATAAAAGGTAAAGGGACCCCTGACCGTTAGGTCCAGTCGCGGACAACTCTGGGGTTGCGGCGCTCATCTCGCTTTATTGGCCGAGGGAGCCGGCATACAGCTTCTGGGTCATGTGGCCAGCATGACTAAGCCGCTTCTGGCGAACCAGAGCAGCGCATGGAAATGCCGTTTACCTTCCCGCCGGAATGGTACCTATTTATCTACTTACACTGGCGTGCTTTCGAAGTGCTAGGTGGGCAGGAGCAGGGACTGAGCAATGGGAGCTCACCCGGTCGCAGGGATTCGAACCGCTGACCTTCTGATCAGCAAGCCCTAGGCTCTGTGGTTTAACCCACAGCGCCACCTGCGTCCCCTTATTGTTGTGGTGGATGTGCCAAATTGGCCAGAGCCCTCTCTCAAACTTGGAGTTAGCCCTACAACTAAGGCTACCACCTGCCCGGAACTGTGGAGTCTGAATTTGGCCTAAAGGTCTGAAGTGCCCCCATGGAGATAGCCAGTGGGAGAGGGGTGTTGAGGGGTAATTATTCTTAACTAATATTGGATAGGATTGTTTGGGGCAATGATGGAGTCCTGTCAGCAAGTCTCTGATCTGGCGCACGGAGGACCGTGACGAGTGCCAGAGTGCACGGAAACGCCATTTACCTTCCTGCCGGAGCGGTACCTATTTATCTCCTTGCACTTTGACGTGCTTTTGAACTGCTAGGTGGCAGGAGCAGGGACCGAGCAACGGGAGCTCACCCCGTCACGGGGATTCGAACCGCTGACCTTCAGAACGGCGAGCCCAAGAGGCTCAGTGGTTTAACCCACAGCGCCACCTGCGTCCCACAGATAGTCGCAACCAATGCCTAAGCAACCACGCACATTGCTTGTATTTTAATAAAATTGTGGCCAAAAATTATGCCAAAGACCTGAAACAAAATTATGCGTCAATTGTGTTTTTATCGGTGGGTGTCTTGGGGACCTCGACACGCAAGTAAACCCCACCAGAAAGCTGTTTCTCAGCCGCTTTATATTTGCCTAGAATGGCGCCCCCAGGTAACCCGCAGAGGAGAAAACAAAGCCCAGCACAGCCCTGCTCTCCAAAGCACCAGAACTGAAGAAGATGACCAGAAGCAAAAGCTACATGGGACTTGGCAGCCGACCCATCACCCCTGAGAAGCTGTTGGCAGGGAGCTAGAAGCTGGTGGATTACCTTCAGATAACCAGGTTGCTCTCCCCAAGCCTAACAATGACCGGGCTGTCCTGGAAAACGAACGAACGAGGCTGCAGTCAGAGCTGGTGTCTGTGTGCTTCGCCACCCCGTCCCCCCAAACAGGTGAGGATCTGTGGCTGCAGCACAGTATCAGATTTACGTATAAGCTAAACAAGCTACAGCTTAGGGCCCCAATCTCTTGGGGCCTCCAAAAAAACTTAAAGGGAAAAACAAACTGGATGTACATTGCCAAAATATAAGGTAAAAAACAAATAAAATAAAACGTACGTACAACAACAGTGCTGCGTGTTGTGTAGGCTCCTATGATGTAAGTCATGGGCCTCACCTGCTAGCCTGCTCCCTCAAATATCACTGGTTTGCTCCTTTCTATATATAGGGTGCCTACATTCTGCTATTTATCATTATTAGTAGTTTGCATCCTATATTTACACCTATTATTATTTCATGTTATAGCACGTTTCTAGACTAGACTAGATAATGAGCCTTTGAAAATTGTGTTTCTAAAGGAACTTTTGTTACTGCCAAATGCCAATGTGTTTGCATTATTAAGTTTGTTACGAATAAAAAAATCATTTTACATGAATAATTATTTCAATATTAATATGCTTCTTCTTAATTGTATTTCAGTTCAGCAATTACTTTGATAAAATAATAATAATACTAATTTGTTATTTGTACCCTGCCCATCTGGCTGGGTTTCCCCAGCCACTCTGGGCAGCTTCCAACAAAGATTAAAAATACATAAAAATGTCACACAGTAAAAACTTCCCTGAACAGGGCTGCCTTCAGATGTCTTCTGAATGTCAGGTAGTTTTTTTATCTCTTTGACATCTGATGGGAGGGCGTTCCACAGGGCGGGCGCCACCACCGAGAAGGCCCTCTGCCTGGTTCCCTGTAACCTCACTTCTCGCAGTGAGGGATTTTTAGGTAAGACGGGAGCCCAGATTTACCTGTAGTGTTGATCCCCTGGGGCAGGAAACCTGTGGCCCTCCAAGTGTCAAAGAACCATAGAACTGTGAAGGTGGAAGGGACCTGGGGGTCATCTAGTCTGGACTCCCAACTTCCATTAACCCCAGTCAGCGTGACCAATGGCAACATCTGGAGGGCACTGGGTTCCCCATTGGTGGCGTAGATCAGAGGCAAGGAAGTTTTGTCAAGCTGGGGGCCACATTGCCTTCTGGACAAGGTTCTGGGGGCCACATGCTGGGCCCAGAGGCAAAATGGATGGAAATCTTACCTTTGCGCAGCAGGAATCAAAGAACCATAGGATTGTGGAGTTGGGACCACAGGGGTCATCTAGTCTGACCCCTTGCAATGCAAGAATCTTTCACCCAACCCGGGACTCAAACCCACAACCCTGAGATTTAGAGTCTTATGCCTGACCGACTGAGCTGTTGGGTGGGTTTGATTTTTTGCATGCACAGAAACCCCATTCTAAGCCACCACTGTTCTTCAAACTCAACAAAAATATGTGCATTGAGTGCGAAGTAGACCTCCTCAGGGGCGTGGCCTGAGGAGAGTCCCAAGGTCCAGGTGGAGAGGCCTGCAAGAGCCACTTTTTGCCCCTGAGCCTGAGGTTCCCATCCTTTGGGCAGCTGATGCAGTAAAACCTCAGAGAAGCACAACAAGGAGAAAGAGGGGAGGTCCTTGCTCAGGCGTAGGGAAACTCATCCCTCCAGATGTTTTGGGACTGCAACTCCCATCATCCCTAGCTTACAGGACCCCAGTGGTCAGGGATGATGGGAGTTGTAGTCCCAAAACATCTGGAGGGCTGTGTTTCCCTATGCCTGTCCTTGCTCCAGGGAGGTCCAGCTCTCCTCCCAAGCCCAGAATCTCATGAGCTGCCCAGAACCTCCACTGCGGCGGGCAGAAGTAGGTGACCCAGCAGCCCTGTAATTCTGTTGACGTTTGCCACAGACAGCCTAGTTTGCAAAACAAGAGATGACGAAGGCCGACGCTTGGGGAGAGAGAGGGAAAGGAGCTTTGCTGCCAGCCAGGCTGAATCGCCCGTGACACCGTTTGGAGTGTTATCGCACAAATTAAATGCTGTGCAATTTCCGGAGCCTGGAGAGAGGTGCTTAGCTTCAGGATGGGGGTACGAGTCCGAGGAAGCCGCGTGGAGAGCGGCTCAAAAGGAGACGGAGATATTCTTACGTACGCCTCCCTCGCTCTCTGGAACGGTGTCGGCTGCTTTCTGCAAGGTTCCCAAATCTCTGCATGATGAGATTTTGTCCTTGGAGGGTCCTGAACCCCTTTCCCCTGAATTCCAAGCACCGGCCTCCCCTGGGTCCACAGATCATCACCCTATATAGCCCTTTTGAACCTCAGAAGAAACAGTTCCCTTCCAGTGATAGCCGTAGCTAGAATTATGTTTTCCTTTCTAAGCAGATGCTGGCTCAGTCCCTCTGGCCACGTGCAGAGTGTCTTTCGTACAGACTCTTAAGCCATAGAAGGCCGGTTGACCCAGATTGGCTCGAACACCCTTTTAAAGAAAAGTAACCATTAAATCAAAGCAGAGACATCACCTTGCCAACAAAGGTCCGTATAGTTAAAGCTCTGGTTTTCCCAGTAGCGATGTATGGAAGTGAGAGCTGGACCACAAAGAAGGCTGATCGCCGAAGAATGGATGCTTTTGAATTCTGGTGCTGGAGGAGACTCTTGAGAGTCCCATGGACTGCAAGAAGATCAAACTGATCCATTCTGAAGGAAATCAGCCCTGAGTGCTCACTGGAAGGAAAGATCCTGAAGCTGAGGCTCCAGTACTTTGGACACCTCATGAGAAGAGAAGACTCCCTGGAAAAGACCCTGATGTTGGGAAAGATGGAGGGCACAAGGAGAAGGGGACGACAGAGGACGAGATGGTTGGACAGTGTTCTCGAAGCTACCAGCATGAGTCTGACCAAACTGCGGGAGGCAGTGGAAGACAGGAGGGCCTGGCATGCTCTGGTCCAGGGGGTCACGAAGAGTCGGACACGACTAAACGACTAAACAACAACAACAAACTGTGCCCCCCCCGGAACGCCCTCCCAGCAGATGTCAAGGCAATAAACAACTATTTTACTTTTAAAAGACAACTGAAGGCGGCCCTGTTTAGGGAAGTTTTTAATGTTTGACGCTGTATTGTTTTTAATATTTGGTTGGAAGCCACCCAGAGTGGCTGGGGAAACCCAGCCAGATGCGCGGGGTATAAATAATAACAATAACAATAATAATAATAACCTCAGTTGGCTTCTTTCAAGATAGATATGTCTTTAAATAACGCATCAATCAATCAATCAATCAATCAGTGACACACAAATAGACAGGAAATTTCACCAGGATTCTAAATTCATATTAGTTTCCCCTCCTGCTCCGTCACGGCCCTTTTTAAACGACCTGGTCATTCTGCGCTCCTCTCCTACTGCTGTTCGAGCCATTTTAAAGTATTTCTTGGCTTCCTGCGTTCCTGCCTTTTAATCTAGAAGCTGCCTCAAGGGACTTTTCCTCCTCGTTGCCAAAAGGGAGGGCAGAAATTTCCTTAAATCAGACCAGCTTCTCTCAGAAAAGAGCCTCGCAGGCTCTAAGGACCTCGGTCCAGAGAGCGTGTGTTCAGTGTTCGAGATTTCCCAGCCTCTCCCACTCACCTCTTGTCGGCCATCTGCCGTCGTAAGCCATTTCGGCTTCACTCCGTTGCTGACCAGTGGCTTTTCCTCCGGGACGAGGCAGGCATAGGGTGGCTCAGCGGCCTCGGCCCCCACGCTCTCCGAAACGGTTTTCACTTCCGAGGGGCTGGGCTTTTGCTCGGGGATACGAGCCACGCGGAACCTGGGCCACAAAACAAAATACCGTATATAAATGGTGTATCTTATCGTGCTATATACATAGAAAGGTAAGGTGGTTGTCACGCTCCGCAGTTTTCCAGGGAAGGCAGGGCTGGGGAGCGCAGCAAGCAGAGTCAGCGGCCCCTTGTCTGTGTGAACCGGGGGTTGAAAATAGGCTTTATTTCACCCGGGTCAAAGACTCAGTTTGGCCCAGTTTGGTCAAAGACCCACCCATGCATATTTGTGTAAATACACACAGGCTGGGAGCCTCAATGGTGCCCCTTTGGTGTGTATAGTAAAGATAAAGGGGCCCCTGGCCATTAGGTCCAGTCGTGGCCGACTCTGGGGTTGCGGCGCTCATCTCGCTTTATTGGCCGAGGGAGCCGGCGTACAGCTTCCAGGTCATGTGGCCAGCATGACTAAGCCGCTTCTGGCGAACCAGAGCAGCACACAGAAACGCCGTTTACCTTCCCGCCGCAGCGGTACCTAATAATCTACTTGCACGTTGAACTGCTTTCGAACTGCTAGGTTGGCAGGAGCAGGGACCGAGCAACGGGAGCTCACCCCGTCGCAGGGATTTGAACCACCGACCTTCTGATTGGCAAGCCCTAGGCTCTGTGGTTTAACCCACAGCGCCACCCGTGTCCCGCTTGGTGTGTATATAGAATAATAAATAATAATAAATTTCATTTATACCCCATCCTCCCCAGCCAAGACCGGGCTCAGGGCGGCTAACGCCCGATACAAAAACAAATTGATTGACATACAACTTAAAAACAAGATTAAAATACAACATTAAAACACAGCCTCATTTCAATGGAAACTCAAATCAAAAACGTTTTGGGGGATGAAAACGTCAAGTCTCCACCAAGGCTAACTTTCCAGACTGGTCCTACATGGGCCAGAAAAAAGCCAGGGAAGTCCGCAAATAGGAGTTCCATCGCAGGAGGAGAAAGGAAAGATATATAGATGTATTTTTTTATACTGAGTTCTGGGGAGATCATTCCAGAGACAGGGAGCCACCACCGAAAAGGCCCGTTCCCGTGTTGTTTTCCCGAGGGTGGCCCTGATCCGAGCATTAGGGAATTCAGAGCTGCCATTGGGAGGAAACGCAGCAGAGCCTTGTAGCTTCGAGGCCTGCCTTTGCCATCTTAAGGACTAGAAACTTGACTCGAACAAAACGGTAGTTTCCGGGACACCGAGTGCCTGAGCTTTGCAAGTACAATCGCAGAGCGTGGAGCGGCCTGTTCCGTGACTCACCTGCCCACGGAGAGGATGGTGATCTCTGCCGGCCTGCCAGCCTTGCCTCCGGGCTTCGCAAGCTTTGCGGTGGCGCTGCCAGGAGCGATGGAGGTGGCCGGCGTGGCTTCTGCCGAGGGCAGCACCTCCGGCCACTTCTTCTGGCTGCACCGGGTGCAGGTGGGGCCCGGGCGGGTGGCCAAGCCTTGGACTGTGTGCAGGTGGTGCTGGTGCCTGCAAATGTGGGGCAACTGAGGCAGGAGATGCAGCCTAAGTGGGGGTAGGGGGGTGAGAGGGGGAAAGGACCACCGTTAGAGGAGAGAACAGAGACCCCCTCAAAGGCCACCCCACAGGTTCACCACCCAACTTGATCATGTTATGCCAGGAATCACTCCATCAACTCCTTCACGCCAGGGGGGTTGGACTGGATGACCTTTGGGTTTCCCTTCAGTTTCTACAATTATAAGGTTTTACTCTTAATAAGAGTAATAATTTTTTATTTATACCCCGCCCTTCCCGGTTCAAAAACCGGGCTCAGGGCAGCTAACAACAAATTTAAAACACTTAATTGTAAAAGCAGCATAAGATACAGTAAAAAAACCATGAATAACAATAAAATTCAAAGTTCAGAAATCAATTTGGGGGAAATCCATCTAATAGAGCATTAGATAGTCACCAGGGCTAGCTGGCTGAATTGGTCCTACTTGGGCCAGCGAGGAGGCCAGGGGAGAATTAGCTGTGCGGGTGATCTTCATAAAAGGGGAGGGGGAGGGAAGAGAAGGGAAATAAAAGATCAGGCTGAATTCAAATTAAAGGCCAGGCAGAATAGCTCTGTCTTACAGGCCCGACGGAAGGAAGTTAAATCCTGAAGGGCCCTGGTCTCGTGGGACAGAGAATTCCACCAGGTTGGAGCCATCACTGAGAAGGCCCTGGCCCTGGTGGAGGATAATTGACTTCCTTAGGGCCAGGGACCTCTAAACTATGGTTATTCGTGGTCCTTAAGGTCCTCTGCGGAGCAGACCAGGAGAGGCGGTCCCGTAGAGGTTCAACAAAAGGTTCAGCTTAATATTACATCCTTTTTCAGTGTCTGTGCCACTCTATTCCTCAATCTGCTGCATCGTGGGCAAAAAATGTAATGGGTGAATCTGGTTGTTGAGAACCAGGAATATTATTATTATTATTATTATTATTATTATTATTATTATTATTTGTATACCGCCCTTCATCCATAGATCTCTGGGCAGTTCACACCATAAAAATACAGGATGATGAAGCAGTCAGAGAGGGGAACTGAGTCTAGTCCCCAGTCATGAGGCTCCCTGGGTAATAATAATAATAATAATAATAATAATAATATCATCCAGGGAGCCTCTCACAAGACACATACAAACCAACACACAAGCATGCAAACAATACACAGAGGATATTAAGTCGAAAAAAATAAATTATTGAGATGCAGTTACATTTAGCAAAGTTTAAGATGAGCCATAATAATAATAATATTTATACCCCGCCCAGCTGGCTGGGTCTCCCCAGCCACTCTGGGTGGCTCCCAACAGAATATTAAAAACTCGATAAAAAGTCAAACACTAAAACTTCCCTGTTTATAGCTCAGCCACAAAGAGGAGCGAGCCATGGCTTATGTGATTCTCTCTTTTTAGATAGGGGGCCATCTCTTTGTAGTCCAAACTGTTCACATAAATGGCCCCGTTTCTCTAACGAGGAGCGATGATAGGGGGCAGCAGGAGAGGGAAAAGGTCCAGATATCTTGCTTTTATATAATCAACTCTTTATTTTGTTCTATGTATATCGCAATGTTCTTTTGTTGCTGTGGGCGATGGCTGACGCAAATAAAGTTTCATTCATTCATTCATTCTTGCTTTTACAATTTTGTATTTTAGCTAATTTTTAAAACTACTGGTCTATGGCCGTAATAAAACGATCAATTGAGCAAAGAAAAAGCCATCCTTCTTACTTGTTGACGGGCTTATAGATGGGCTGCAAGACCTGCTTGCTGTGATAATCTTTCAGCATCTCCTCCAAGACTGCGGCGTTCTCTGTCGGCGGCAAATGAGAGGGACAGGGAGGGGAAATAAAGCAGAGCCGTTGAACAGGAGGCGAAAAAGGAGGAGGAAGAGAGTCATTGGTGCAACATGAAGCCTAGCAAGCCCACTAGTCCTCATTAAGGTGTCTTCATTTATGGGGTAAACCTGTTTGCATACGCTTGTAACTTTAAGCCTAAAGGCTGCCTTCAGGGATCTCACTGTGCTCTGCCTGATCCCAAGTAAACTTTCTTTTTGTTACTTACGAGTAAGACTGTGGTGTCTTTATTCTTTCAGGAGGGATTCAAGGGGTCTTACCAGGAAAATATTATAACGCATTTCAACCTGGGCAAGCCAGACTGAATTGCGTATTGTCTTAAGAAACTCACACGAGTTTGCAACAAGTTTTCTTTTTTATTTTCTTTTTAAATATAACTTTTTATTAGTTTTTTTTAACATATTATTTTCAACAGTAATTAAACATACTTTTACATCTTATTCAGATTTTTGACTTCCATCGATCCTGTCTGAAAATTTTCCAATCTAATCTCTTAGTATGCATTTCTTATTTTCCTTATAACATTTCAAACTCATAACCAATATCTCAATCTTTTTCTACTTTGTAACACTTCGTCTATTTCTCCTTCTTGTAGTCCTACTAGCGTAATTTGTTGATTACAGTTGCTCTTCAAATAATTCATATACTTCTTCCAATCTTCTGTAAAGACTTGTAACAAGTTTTCTGCTGTGTAAAGGGGAATGTAAGCTCTGCTAAGTAAAGGAACTTGCTGGCGCAAGTTGGGAAGGATATTAATAAGCAATATATCCTCTCCTAGGGACGCGGGTGGTGCTGTGGGTTAAACCACAGAGCCTAGGACTTGCCGATCAGAAGGTCAGCGGTTCGAATCCCTGCGACCGGGTGAGCTCCCATTGCTCAGTCCCTGCTCCTGCCCACCTAGCACTTCGAAAGCACGCCAGTGTAAGTAGATAAATAGGTACCATTCTGGCGGGAAGGTAAACAGCATTTCCATGCGCTGCTCTGGTTCGCCAGAAGCGGCTTAGTCATGCTGGCCACATGTACACTGTACGCTGGCTCCCTCGGCCAATAAAGCAAGATGAGCGCTGCAACCCCAGAGTCGGTCACGACTGGAACTAACGGTCAGGGGTCCCTTTACCTTATCCTCTCCTGCCACCCTGAACATTCACTGAGCTTGCCAATGAACGTGGCTCAAGGCAGAGGGACTTTGACCACCCATAACAAACAGATAAAGCAAAGGTTCCCGGCCCCCCTCTTTCCTGCGCAAGGCTCACCTTTCTTCTCCGTGATCAGACGCACCAGAACCCCAATGGTGTCTTCGTTGGCATCTTCTATTCTGTAGGCAGGACTATTCCCTAAGGAGAAAAGGACGGCAGGATGAAAAACGCTCTCCCTGGCTTTGCTGACCTGCTCTGAAGCCAGCGGAGTCAAAAAGGTAGGTAAAGCAAATCAGTCCCTGGAACTACAGCAAGGCTCATTTGTACTTTGTGCAGCGATAACATTTTTATTTACAGAATATCTTTTTACGCAGAATTTTGGCCCACAAGCTGACTTGGCAAATACAGTGGCACTGGCTTCAGTTGTTTTTATTCAGTTGTTTTTATTTACCTGTTTGGTCATTTATGCAGTAAAAGGTAAAGGGACCCCTGATTAGGTCCAGTCGCGGACGACTCTGGGGTTGTGGCGCTCATTTCGCTTTACTGGCCGAGGGAGCTTCCGGGTCATGTGGCCAGCAGGACTAAGCCACTTCTGGCGAACCAGAGCAGCGCACGAAAACGCCGTTTACCTTCCCGCCAGAGCGGTGCCTATTTATCTACTTGCAATTTGACGTGCTTTCTAGCTGCTAGGTTGGCAGGAGCAGGGACGAGCAACGGGAGCTCTCCCCGTCGCAGGGATTCGAACTGCCAACCTTCCGATTGGTAAACCCTAGGCTCTGTGGTTTAACCCACAGCGCCACCCACGTCCCTTATTTATGTAGTAGTTTATTATTATTATTATTGGGGGAAAATATAATCTGTTCAGGAGACCATTGTAAGCAGATGAGAACATTAGCAGGATTTTAATCTCACTTGTAAAGTAACAAAGACTATGGGCATTTTAGACAGATAACAAATGTGGATAACAGACTGACATGGAGGTGTAAATACAGTCATACCTCGGGTTACAGACGCTTCAGGCTGCGTTTTTTTGGGTTACGGACCGCCAAAACCTGGAAGTACCAGAATGGGTTGCTTCCGGGTTTCGGCGGTCGTTCATGGGCAGAAGCACCGAATCGCAACCCGTGCCTGCTGACAGGCAACGCACTTAAGGACTCTATATGGGCTCTGGAATACCCCATACTGCCAAACCAGTTTCACCTCCTCCCTTACAACCACCCTGTGATGTAAATTAAGCCAAGACGGAGAGAGAGAAAAACCCCTTTTCTGTGGTGGTGCTTCTGCTCTGGAATGCCTCAGACTGACGTGAACCAGACTCCTTTTTGCGTCTCCTACACCAGAAACCGAAGGCATTTTTATGTTCACAGAGTGCCTAACACCCCTGGTTTTATTGCTGGCAGTTTCAAAGTGTAACATCCCTTGTCCTTTCTGCTAGGAGGCATATCTGCTTAAAAAACAAATGGTGACTGCATATTATTATGCATTCTCGGTTAGAGACTGCAGAAACTGCTTTCTTAATTGTACTTACACTGTTCTCGATTATATGACACGGCTTTATTATTAGATGCTACGCCGCTTTGGGTACTTTTAATAGAAGGGACGGATGAAAATAAATGATCAAGATGGTTTATTAAAATGACTCACAGGCAGGATTTAAATCTCAGGAGCGTGACCTGAGAGAGATACAAGTCAAATTCACAATAGACGCACTCCTGTTGTTTTGTTGCGGTGGGTTACACGTTTTCAGGTTACTTCCGGCGCCCGCACATGTGCAGAAGTGCTAAATCGCTCTTTGCACATGCGCAGAAGCGCCGAATCACGTCATGTGCGTGTGCAGAGGTGGTACTGTGGGTTGTGAACGTGCCCCCTGCACGGATCACGTTCACAACCTGTGGTTCCACTGTATTTTAAATGAACATCGCCAAAATCTACACTGCAAACATGGGCTGCCATATGTCCGGCAACCATACAATATATGCCCTCTCAATTGCTTCTGTCAGAGCAACTGGCACCAATGCAGGTGCCACATACCTGTCCCACATTTGTAGGAACTTGGTCTTTTAGTGTGGCAGCACCTAAAACTCTGGAACGCCCTGCCTATTGATCTCAGGTGCCTTTGCTGTACTATTTTTGACAGCTGCTGAAAGCATTCCTGTTTAGAAAAGTCTACCCAGATGTTTAGAAAGTTTATGTGAGTTTTAATCTGCTATTTTAACTTTTCGAAATTAGTGTCGTTTTCTTCTTCTTCTTGATAACTTTATTGTTTTGTCTTTCTTCTTCTGTAAACTGCCTTGAGGTTAGTTGTTTCTTTTTACCATAAATAGAAATAATAAAAGCCTAGCTCCGATGTGTCCCATCTTTATGTATTTGCTATGAAACAAAGAAACACCCTCATTGCAGTTATGTTTCACTCTTGAGTAATGCTACTTGGCTTAACACAAGCTTTGCCCCAAAATTGTGAGCAAAGGTTTTGTGATTTGAATTTAATAGCCTCCTTGTTGCTGGTAATACAAGAGGGAGGGGGACAATTTCTGGAGATGCTGTGGTGGAGTTCAGGAGCCCAGCAACTCCTTAGGACCTTCCTGAGTCAACAATGACCTCATAGTGGGGATGGACTTATGCGCAGGGTTCCCGGTCTCACAGCTGCAGCCTTGCCAGTGAAATCTGTGCTTCCCCCTTGGCCAAATCCTCTTCCTCTGACACTCTCTTCCTCCCCTGAGGCAGCAATGCTGGCTGTGGTGGCACGTGGCCAGTGCCAGATTTATGTATAAGCAAAACAAGCTCTCTTGGCCCCCCCCCAAAAAAAATTAAAGGGAAACGGGATGTAAATTTCCAAAATATAAGATAAAAAACAAATAAAACCTACATACAGAAACAGAGTTTTGTGTTGTGTAGGCTCCTATGATGTACTGTTTTGCTCTATAAGACTCACTTTTTCCCTCCTGAAAGGTAAGGGGAAATGTGTGTGCGTCTTATGGAGCGAATGCAGGCTGCACAGCTATCCCAGAAGCCAGAACAGCAAGAGGGATCGCTGCTTTCACTGCGCAGCGATCCCTCTTGCTGTTCTGGCTTCTGAGATTCAGAATATTTTTTTTCTTGTTTTCCTCCTCCAAAAACTAGGTGTGTCTTGTGGTCTGGTGCGTCTTATAGAGCGAAAGATACAATAAGTCATGGGCCCTGCCTGCTAGCCTGCTCCCTAAAATATCACTGGTTTGCTCATTTCTATATACAGTGGTACCTCGGTTTACAAACAGTCCTGTTTACGAACTGTTCGGTTTACGAACTCCGCAAAACCGGAAGTAGTGTTCCGGTTTGTGAACTTTACCTCGGTCTACGAACGGAAGACGGTGATAGCAGTCACAAAATTAAAAGACGTCTGCTTCTTGGGAGAAAAGCAATGACAAACCTAGACAGCATCTTAAAAAGCAGAGATATCACCTTGCCAACAAAGGTCCGTCTAGTTAAAGCTATGGTTTTCCCAGTAGTGATGTATGGAAGTGAGAGCTGGACCATAAAGAAGGCTGATCGCCGAAGAATGGATGCTTTTGAATTCTGGTGCTGGAGGAGACTCTTGAGAGTCCCATGGACTGCAAGAAGATCAAACCGCTCCATTCTGAAGGAAATCAGCCCTGAGTGCTGACTGGAAGGACAGATCCTGAAGCTGAGGCTCCAAGACTTTGGCCACCTCATGAGAAGAGAAGACTCCCTGGAAAAGACCCTGATGTTGGGAAAGATTGAGGGCACAAGGAGAAGGGGACGACAGAGGACGAGATGGTTGGACAGTGTTCTCGAAGCTACCAGCATGAGTTTGACCAAACTGCAGGAGACAGTGGAAGACAGGAGTGCCTGGCGTGCTCTGGTCCAGGGGGGCATGAAGAGTCGGACACGACTAAACAACAACAACAATAACAAACGGAAGCTGAACAGTGGAAGGGCACTGGTGGCGGGAGGCCTCATTAGGGAAAGAATGGATTTGGTTTAAGAACGGACTTCACGAACAGATTAAGTTGGTAAACCGAGGTACCACTGTATAGGGTGCCTCCATTCTGCACGGACTGGCTGCATGGCAACATGTGCAAATGGCTTCAGTTACCTATCAGGTCCATAAGTTACCATATAGCATATATTCAACGCAAAAAACAGTGACAATTTGTTGTTGACAAAGGACAGCTGGACATATAAAGGGCCCCATTACCTCCAGTAGCTTAGGGCCTCATCAAACCTAAATCCAGCCCTATCTTGGCAGCCTTTCTTTGGCTGAGTCTTTCTACCCTGCCCATAGGCAGAGTAGAACAAGCACAGCAGGAGCGACCAACACACAACAAAGAGCACAAAGGAGATTATGACTGTTTGTACAGATGACAGCTTTAAAGAAGCAAATGGACACTCCCCGATACGACCAACGCCTTCAGAACGGGCACGTGCCTTGAATAGGTGATGCACCACAAAAGCTCTGCCGCTGGCAGACTTCGCAGCCAAGGGCAGAACTGCTTTTAAGCAATGTCTAGGAAGAAGGGTGCAGGATCTTCACCCAAGATGAGCATGCAGCCTGTCCTTCTTGCTACACCAGAAGGAAACGGATACAGCCCTCTTGCATCGAGCCAGCTCATCTAGCCGCAAGTGTACAATCTGCTCCAGCAATGACCCTCCGAGGTCTCAGCAAAAGAGTTCCTGAGACCTGCGCCTCGCTTTCTTGTTTTACTGCACAGGAAGTTGGTGCTCTGTTGTGGGTCTATTCTGCAACAGTTCACTGACGCCATAATAGGTAAAGGTAAAGGACCCCGGGGGACACGGGTGGCGCTGTGGTCCAAACCACTGAGCCTAGGACTTGCTGATTGGAAGGTCAACAGTTTGAATCCCCGCGACGAGGTGAGCTCCCATTGCTCAGTCCCAGCTCCTGCCAACCTAGCAGTTCGAAAGCACACCAGTGCAAGTAGATAAATAGGTACTGCTGCAGCGGGAAGGTAAACGGCGTTTCCGTGCGCTGCTCTGGTTCGCCAGAAGCGGCTTAGTCATGTTGCCCACATGACCTGGAAGCTGTCTGCGAACAAACGTCTGCTCCCTCGGCCTATAGAGCGAGATGAGCGCACAACCCCAGAGTTGTCCACGACTGGACATAATGGTCAGGGGTACCTTTACCTTTTTTAAAGGACCCATGGACAGTTAAGTCCAGTCAAAGGTGACTATGGGGTTGTGGCACTCATCTTGCTTTCAGGCCGAGCGAGCTGGCATTTGTCCTCTAAGAGGTGATACAACACACAGGAAGAAGAAAGGAGAACTTCATTTGCGGATCATAAGTTATTAAATGTGTCAACACAAATTGAAGTTAGAACACGGTAGCTGTTGTATAAGGGATTATTATTAAGATTGGATTGTAACTGGATTGAATAACAGTTTGGAAGCAGAATTAAAAGGAATTATTATACCTTGAATAATAACCAGGCAGAGGGCCTTCTCGGTGGTGGTGCCCGCCCTGTGGAACGCCCTATCATCACATGTCAAGGAAATAAACAACTATTTGACTTTTAGAAAACATCTGAAGGCAGCCCTGTTTAGGGAAGTTTTTAATGTTTGATGTTTTATCGTGTTTGTTATATTCTGTTGGGAGCTGCCCAGAGTGGCTGGGGAGGCCCGGCCAGATGGGCAGGGTACAAATAATAAACAAACAAACAAAAATTACTCTATTGCCTTAATAGCTCCCTGAAAAGTGCACTCCGCACCGCTTGCAAAATGTGATGATTTGAAATACAGGGAGCGCCAATGGAGATTTCCTGATCATAATCCAGAAGAGCTCACATCCCACCCTGGCCCTGCCCTGGCTCACCGTTCCTCTCGGATTTGGCCCCCTCCTCGTCCGTGTCCTTGTGGGCGGTGCAGTGATAGCCTTTCTTCATCAACAGGTTGCAGAAGAGGATGCCTAGCAGGCCCATCACGCAGAAGACCGGGACAATGGCCAAGACGGCGTACTGGGTGGCGCTCTCCTCCGGCTTCCCCTCTCGGGTTCCGTTGGCAGCCATCTTGTTGTCCCGCCTCTGCAGAGCTTCGGCGTTGCGTGCCAGGCGGGTCAGCCACTTCCTGGATCCTGAGAGGGTAAGGAATTGGGAGACGTTGGTGGCATCACGAGATCAACCAGAACGTACCACCAGCCGTGGGGTGACCCCCTCCCTGTCCTTGGCTCCAGCTCCAACAACTGATGGGCTCCCCGCCTTCTGCCATCCCAGTCCCAATGGAAACCAGGCATTTGGACTTTACCATTCCAGCTCCCTACAACAATTCCCAGAGAAGAACGGCAGGTTAAGTTGATGGATTATGCTGAAATGACCAAAATAACCGGAAGAATTAGAAATCAGGAAGACCAAAGTTTTAATAAGGAATGGGGGAAATTCATAATTCATCTTACAAACCATTGAAAACGGTTAACATCGTTCGTAGGATTGGAATAACACTTGTAGTTCAGTGGTGAATTTTGGATATAATGGAGAAGTAAAAGGTTTGGATAATCACAAAAGATGCAAGAACCACAGGACCCACAAAGGGGAGGAGGGAAGTCCAGGAGATTCTTCATAATTGTATTTTTATGTTGTTTGTTGGATATGTGTTCTAAAAGCTTTCATTTAATTTTATGGGGAAAGAAACCAGCAATTCCCAGATCCTCCCTTTTCCTTGATGCTCACTTACAGTAGGCTTTGAAAGCACAGCTGACCTTCATGGGTCCCCTCTCTTTAAGCCGAGACACTCAAAGGCTTTATTATTATTTACTTTATTTTATTATTTATCAAACTTATATGCTGCCCTTCATCTGAAGGTCACAGAGCGGTTGACAACATAAAAACAACCAAGCCCATTCCATTGTGTCAAATGCCTTTTAGGCATCTGGAAGCAAAGCAGTGGTGTTAACGGCACAGGGCGTGCAATCAAATTAAAACACCCTTTGATATCACATCCTGGTTGTTCTTACTTAAAACAAAATCCACATTTCACCTGGAGATCATTTCTGGGTGTTCATTAGAATGCATGCTTGTGGCAGAATTTTACAACCTGCCTTTGCCACACAGGCATGCCTGACGGATGACTCAACCACGAGTTTTTCAACATTTGGGTATCAGCAATTATTGCCACGATCTGCCCTGCAGAAATTCCTGTTGCAACCTATGTCTGACTAGCCGTGATGCTTTCGCACCTCGTGTTGTAAGGAACCGCAATGCGCCCCTCGGACCTGTTCTGGTATTTTACAGCCAGACTACACAGAGGTGGAATTGGGAATCCCAGGGGTTGGAATTTCCTGCCTTTCTACACCACCTTGTTCAGAGTAATAAATAATAATAATAATAATAATAATAATAATAATAATAATAATAATTTATTATTTATACCCTGCCCATCTGGCTGGGTTTCCCTAGCCACTCTGGGCGGCTTCTAGCAAAACACTAAAATACAATAACCTATTAAACATTCAAAGCTTCCCTAAGCAGGGCTGCCTTCAGATGTCTTCTAAAAGTTTGGTAGTTATTTTTCTCTTTGACATCTGGTGGGAGGGCGTTGCACAGGGCGGGTGCCACTACCAAGAAGGCCCTCTGCCTGATTCCCTGTAACTTGGCTTCTTGCAACCAGGGAACCACCAGAAGGCCCTTGGCGCTGGACCTCAGTGTCCGGGCAGAACTATGGAGGTGGAGACACTCCTTCAGGTATACTGGGCCGAGGCCGTTTAGGGCTTTCAAGGTCAGCACCAACACTTTGAATTGTGCTCGGAAACATACTGGGAGCCAATGTAGGTCTTTCAGGACCAGTGTTATGTGGTCTCGACGGCCGCTCCCAGTCACCAGTCTAGCTGCCGCATTCTGGATTAGTTGTAGTTTCTGGGTCACCTTCAAAGGTAGCCCCACTTAGAGCGCATTGCAGTAGTCCAAGTGGGAGATAACTAGAGCATGCACCACTCTGGCGAGACAGACTGCGGGCAGATAGGGGCTCAGCCTGCGTACTAGATGGAGCTTATGGCGCCGCCATGGACAGCTGTGAACAGTCCATGGACAGTCCAAAATGACTCCCAGGCTGCACACCTGGGAGCAAAGTTACCCCATTCAGGACCAGGGAGTCCCCCACACCCACCTCCTGTCCCCCCAAAACAGTACTTCTGTCTTGTCAGGATTCAACCTCAATCTGTTAACCGCCATCCATCCTCCAACCGCCTCCAGACACTCACACAGGACCTTCACCGCCTTCACAGGTTCCGATTTGAAAGAGACACAGGTTTCAAAAAATCTCTCAGACCCACCCAGGAAATCCCAAGGTTTGCACATGCACTGAGACACGCTGAGGTGTACCAAAGGTGTACCCACAAGCCAAAGAGAATTAGCATGATTCACTATAATCAACTTTTCTTCGTGTGACACAAGAGAGAATACCAGGTTGTAATTAATCCTTCACAAGCCATCAAGTTCCACTCAGTGCGCTGTTATATACACCCTGTTGACTGTTTTTAGGACCTGCCCTGTTTTCGTGATTCTAATTTGTTTTAAACGGTTTCCGATGATGTATTTTGAACTGTGGTACTCCACCCTGGGATCAGAGGGTGGAGGGCAGCTAATGATAATATAGAAAAATAATAATCAGAGAGAAATAGACAAGAACCAGAAATTTAGCAACTCTATCCTGGGACACTTGGGTTTTTATTTTTAAATAAATATATTTGTCCCAGTAACATTAACATGTCACATTAAGGCAAGTCATGACATGGTATCACTGCATGGAATATTCTCCCACTGCCACTCACATGGGGAAGGGAGCATCTGGGGCAATGACATCACGCACCACATTTCAACGCAACTCAACTTTCCCAGGAAGAGAATAAGAAAGGAGCAGCAGTCAAGTCGCATTTCTTGCCTCTCCCTATGAAGTTCCAGACTCTGAGGCTCTTTCAACTGCCGTAATATTTATTAGTACGCTTGTACTCTGCCCTTTAGGGGACGCGGGTGGCGCTGTGGGTTAAACCACAGAGCCCAGGACTTGCCAATCAGAAGGTCGGCGGCAGTGGCGTAGCGTGGGTTGTCAGCACCCGGGGCAAGGCAAGTAATTTGCGCACCCTAACCCGTGGATTTTAGCAGGGGGCAGAGAGCTGCGAGTGCGAGCGCCCCCCCAGATGTTGCGCCCGGTGCGGCCGGCCCCCCCTGAACCCCCCACGCTACGCCACTGGTCGGCGGTTCGAATCCCCGTGACAGGGTGAGCTCCCGTTGCTCAGTCCCTGCTCCTGCCAACCTAGCAGTTCGAAAGCACATCAAAGTGCAAGTAGATAAATAGGTACCGCTCCGGCGGGAAGGTAAACGGCGTTTCCGTGCGCTGCTCTGGTTTCGCCAGAAGCGGCTTAGCCATGCTGGCCACATGACACGGAAGCTGTATGCCGGCTCCCTCGGCCAATAAAGCGAGATGAGCGCCGCAACCCCAGAGTCGGTCACGACTGGACCTAATGGTCAGGGGTCTCTTTACCTTTACTTTGCCCTTTACATTTCATTTATTGCTTTGGAGATTTTGTAAACAGAGCTACCACCGTGGTATACAAGATAAAATGCAAAAGATTACAAATTCAATGAATGAAAAGTGGAGGAACTATTTCTACAATTTTATCCCATTGCATAAAATCATAGAATCGTCAAGTTGGAAAATACCCCAAGGGTCATCTAGATGTCAAAGAGAACAACTACCAGACTTTTAGAAGACACCTGAAGGCAGCCCTGTTTAGGGAAGCTTTTAATGTTTGATGCATTACTGTATTATTTTAATAATCTGTTGGAAGCCGCCCAGAGTGGCTGGGGAAGCCCAGCCAGATGGTGGGGTATAAAATAATAATAATAATAATAATAATAATAATAATAATAATAATAATTATTATTATTATTATTATTTCCAACCCCCTGCAATGCAGGAATCTCAACTTGCAATCCCCCATCCAACGACTGGCTCACACTTCAGGGAAAGCCTTTTTAAACAAAACCATCTTCCGGAGGTTGCTAAATATCACAATGTGAGGCGCTTGTCTTATTCCAGCTGGCAAATGATTCCAGAGGGCTGGAGCTGCAACACTAAAAGCCTCTTTTCTAGGACAAGCTAAGCGCACCTCTGGGGAACCTGGTACTCTCAGCAGTGCCACACCTGAGGAGCACAGTTTCTGAGGAGAGCATCTTTTATGTCACTTGGTTCCAAGTCGTCCATCAAAGAACTGAAGGTAACCCAGGGGATCTCCCACCCGGGCCCTGAGCTGCTTCACTTTGGCAAGACAACCTAACCTGCAGACCACGCCCAGCCAGCTCCTTCCCTCTCCAGCTTGAATGGAAATAAAACGTTCCCTTTTTGCACCTCAGCCATCTTTTGCTCTCACCTGAGCATCCTGGGAGGCCTTTGGGGGCAGACAAACAAGGCAGGCAGGTGGCGTTTGGGTCTGTCTCACCTTCAGGGCTATAATATCTGTGGATGGGAAGAAGAGAGATGATCAGGTTAAAGGCTGGTATCTCAGAGATACTCCAGAGACACTGGCGTATCCCACCAGGACAAAGATTCCTAGCAGGTCCCCTCCAGACGTTGAAATTTCTTAGCTGCTTTCACTTAAGACAATTTGATATTAATTACCACACAGCATATGTTCAACAACAACAACAAAAACAGTGACAATTTGTTGTTGACAAAGGACAGCTGGACATATAAAGGGCCCTTTACCTTCAGTAGCTGAGGGCCTCATCGAACCTAAATCCGGCGCTGGTTGCCATTATCCTCACTTTATCTTCTGCTGCTGCACTTATAAGTCACAGCAACACAAAAGTATCCCATAAGTCCCATCCGATAACTGCTAAAAGAGGTGCAAAGTCTTCGCAGGACTCCAGTGTGGCTAAAAGAGGTGCAAAATCTTCTGCTGCACTGGGGGACAGAGGGAAAAATCCCACTGAAAATGCTAGAAGATAAGGGAAAAGGCAAGGGTGGCGGGAATCTCCTTTTCCACTCTCTGCAAAATCGACGGGGGGAATTTGGATTAATCAGCAGCCCGGAGTGAGCAAAAAAACGTGACTAAGGGGTCAACTAGTTTCTCCCTCCTCCCTTAATCACAGCAGGCTGAGTTCAGCCAAGAGCTGGCGATGAATCACTGGTTCCTGCCCCATCACTTCCTCCTCACTGGTTTCCCGTCAAGATGTTGGGATTCCGGCTCTTCCTGGTACGCAGTTTTGCAGACTGCGGCATTTCGGAACTGGTGCTTTGCTGCCTCTCCACAAGGACTCCCTTCGCGGGCGATCGTAAACTTTCAGGTGTCCCCAACCCTGATAGCATTTCCGGCTAGGAATGGGAACATCTCAATACTGGTCTCTCCTTTTCTCAGTTCTACTCATTCAGCTTGCTTTCTCCCCCTGCTCCTGTTCTCATTATTGCAAAATTGGCCCAGAATACACATTTTTGCAAGCACTTCTCATTCACTCTCTCTCTCTGTGGTTTTTTTGGACGCCGTTTTCACTAAGAGACGCAGTCCACGCACACTGCACCCTAGAACATGCATTTTCATTCACATTACTGGGCTGGAAAAACGCACTGGAAAATTAGGAGAAAGTGCAAATTTCAAGAGACAGCGGTGTTTCGATGCAGGCAAAGTCTGAAGAGGTGTGAATTTAGCAAGTACAGTGGTACCTCGGGTTACAGACGCTTCAGGTTACAGACGCTTCAGGTTACGGACTCCGCTAACCCAGAAATAGTACCTCGGGTTGAGAACTTTGCTTCAGGATGAGAACAGAAATCGCTAAAGTGGTTAGCTAAAGCGGTACCTCAGGTTAAGTACAGTTTCAGGTCAAGAACGGACCTCCGGAACAAATTAAGTACTTAACCTGAGGTACCACTGTATGCCTTTTAAAAGTGAAGCGGATTTCTGTCCCGTCCCGACTTCCAGCCCAGGCACACCAGAGCCACAAAATTATGCACACCTGTGCTTGCTACCTTTCTCTGACACTCAACACATCAAGTACTGTCCAACAGGGATGCAGTCCCTCTTCCAAAAGAATAATTGCTCTGAAAATGGGGCTATACAGTGGGGGGGGGGGCAGAAGCCCAGTTTGCAACCCTTCTAAAAATATTCTTCCCTCTCTGATTCTTGCTTGAAATGCCCCAAGCCATCGCAGGAACTGATGAGTCCCTGCCTATTTGAACTTCAGCACTGCTGTGGTATCAATTGCATTGAGACCTCCTTGTGCACTCACACCCCTCTCTGCCTGGATTCCTGCGATTCTTATCGGCGTCAGCTGACCTCCCCCAGGAATGTTGCGCATTGAGGCTGGACTGAATAGCAGGCCACTAAGCCCTGGGGTATCGGAGGGTCCTCTACCCACCAGCCCGGCCTGCTGTACAATCTGCAGCGCTGATTTCTCGACCTGGGCTCTTTGGAAACTTATTACAGGTTTAAGAATATAAGAACGTGAGACAAGCTGGGAATGGTTGGCTCCCGGGTGAATTAGGAAGTTTAAGATCCTCATGGCTTTTGGAGCATATGTACTCCATATGGAGCATATGGAGTTTCCACTGAAATGAGGCTGCGCTTTAATGTTTTAATGTTGTATTTTAATGTTGTTTTTTAAGCTGTATTTCAATCAATTGTTTTTATATTTGCTGTTAGCTGCCCTGAGCCCGGTCTTGGCTGGGGAGGGTGGGGTATAAATAAAAATTATTATTATTATTGCTACTACTCAGGCACTGCACAACTAATAATAATATTAATAACAATACGCCACCAATCTGGCTGGGTTTCCCCAGCCACTCTGGGCGGCTCCCAACAGAATATTAAAAACACAATAAAACATCAAACATTAAAAACTTCCCTAAACAGGGCTGCCTTCAGATGTCTTCTAAAAGTGAGGTGGTTGTTTGTTTCCTTGACATCTGATGGAGGGCGTTCCACAGGGAGGGTGCCACCACTGAGAAGGCCCTCTGCCTGGTTCCCTGTAATCTCACTTCTCGCAGGGAGGGAACCGCCAAAAGGCCCTCAGTGTCTGGGCTGAACGATGGGGGTGGAGATGCTCCTTCAGGTATACAGGACCGAGGCCATTTAGGGCTTTAAAGGTCTGCACCAACACTTTGAATTGTGCTTGGAAACGAATATGGACATTTGCACAGAATGAATATGAATATGGACATTTCCATAGAAAACACAGGCAAGAGTTAAGTCACGACAGAAGTACAGCAGTACCTCTGGTTGCGAACGGGATCCGTTCCGGAGCCCCGTTCACAACATGAGCAGAACGCAACCCACGCCTGCGCATGCCGCGATTCGCCGCTTCTGCGCATGATGTCATTTTGAGCATCTGCACATGCGCGAGTGACAGAACCCGGAAGTAACCCATTCTGTTACTTCCGGGTCGCCGCAGGACGTATCCTGAAAGAGTGTAACCTGAACTGAATGTAACAAGAGGTATGACTGTATGAGGGTTGCAAACAGGCTTAGCAAGACCATCAAGGGCTAAATAAAAACAGATCCAGGGGCTGCGTCAATCAGCTGTTGCTAAAAACGTAAGAAGAGATTGCTGGATCCGGCCAATAGCCCATCTAGCCCCGCAATCCTGTTCTAACGGTGGCCAAACAAAGACTTGTGGAAAACCAGCAAGCAGCAGCAGCTGAGCGCAAGAGCAACTGTCCTTTCCTGCGGCTTCCAGCAATTCAAGCATTGCTGCCTCCCAGCTGTGAAGGCAAAAAGCATCGGCTTCCTGGCTGGTAGCCATCAAGAGCAGCCTCCTCTGTGAGTTTGTCTAATCCTCTTTTTAAAGCCATCTAGGCTGGCAGCCATCCCTGCCTCGCATGAGAGCAGGTTTCACAGTTTAACAAAACGCTTAAACAAGCTGTGTGGTCGTCACGGCCTCTTGTGGTTTCTCGACAAGGCGACTGACGGTCATAATTTTCAGGGAAGATTGCTTCAACGCCCGGTTGCCAGCTTTCCTCCACAATGCAGAGCCACATGGAAAAACGCATGCATGCTCAACTCAACAATTGCCCTGCAATGCTCTCCCCTCCTCTTGCCCCAAATCCTTAGCAACGCACGGTGGTTCCTTGCAGGATACGTGCGTGTTTGGGGTGACCCAATGTTAAAATCCTGAGGATCCATGGGCTTTTACCTCCCCCCTCCCAGACAGCCTCCTTTATCTCTAGCATCCCTTATCTCTCTCCCGATCCCACTGATCAGCTGCTTCCTTTCAACACTCCCTTCCCTCTTGTTTGCCTTGGTGTCTTTTCCTTAGCTGGAGCAGTTTTTTGCTCCTCCTTTTCTTCTCTCCTCATTGCTTTCGTCTTCCTGTCTCCTCTCCTTGCAAGTTCGCTGTCTTTACCTCCCCCCTCCCAGGCAGCCTCCTTTATTGCTAGCCTCCCTTATCTCCCTCCCGAATGCTTGCGATCAGCGGCTTCCTTTCAACACCCCCTTCCCTCTTTCAGAAGACAAACAAACCATGATCTGCTTTTCGCCCCTGGGCAATTCGGCTCCAGGGACCGTGCATTCGCTCCGTAAGACGCGCAGACATTTCCCCCTACATTTTTGGAAGAAAAAAGTGCATCTTATGGAGCGAAAAATACGGTAAGTTCAAATCCCAATCCTGCCACCATTTCACATTCGTGCAAAACTTTATATTCCGACAGGGAGGTGTGTTGCCAACTGATTCTCCGTACAAGGCTCCGTGTTTGCCGGAGAGGTGCTCCGCTGCCCCCAGAGTGGGAGGGTTTGGCGCAGGTGTGTCTGCCCTGCAAGAGAACAGACAGTAAAAGCAATAAGCGGCGTTACCCGGGCATGCAGTCCCCGCACAAGGTGTCCGCCGCGGCTGTTCCAGGGCTGGCATGAACCCTCCTTTTGGCTTCGCAGTGGGTATGCAGTGAGCAGAATTCCAGCCCGTAGCTGGGAGAGAAGGTTCCCGCAGAGCAAGGCTTGCAAATCATCCCCAGTCCTTTCCCATAGCCACATGTCTAGGGTGGGAAATCAAACAAAAAGCAGAGTTAAGATGCCACAAGCTCAACCAGGCAAGGGATGCAGTTCCTTATGCCTCACTTCCCTTCCAGCTGTTGGACTGACGTCCGCTGCTGGGATGTGGCGGAATCTTCACGGAAATCCCAACACTCGTGAGGCGGGTGAGAGGGTTCCTTATTAAAAGGCTGGATTCTGGGCTTGAACGTTGCAAATATAATAATAATAATAATAATAATAATAATAATAAAAAAGTTGTGCTCCCTTTACAAATTTGGTCTGGCTAAAAAGTAAGGTGAGATACATACTAGATTTGGGGAGGGGGCTAGATAGCTTGGCTAGTTTCTGATCCATTCTGATATAAAATAAAATAATAATAATAATAAATTTTATTTATACCCTGCCCTCCCCAGCCAGAGCCGGGCTCAGGGCAGCTAACACCAATAAAATCACAGTAAAAACATAATGGGGGTGGGTGGGGAATTTAAAATACAGGTTAAAATACAATTTAAAATGCAGCCTCATTTTAATAGTAGCCCATAGATCAAAACCATAAGGGGAGGGAAACATAAGGGTCAGAGTGAGTCCAAACCAAAGGCCAGGTGGAACAGCTCCTGTCTTGCAGGCCCTGCGGAAAGATGTCAAGTCCCGCAGAGCCTTAGTCTCTTGTGACGGAGCGTTCCACCAAGTCGGGGCCAGTACTGAAAAGGCCCTGGCCCTAGTTGAGACCCATCTAACCACCTTGCGACTTGGGACCTCCAAAGTGTTGTCATTTGTGGACCTTAAGGTCCTCCGCGGGGCAGACCAGGAGAGGCGGTCCCATAGGTACAAGGACTTTAAAGGTTAAGATGCCACAAGCTCAACCAGGCAGGGGATGCAGTTCCTTATACCTCACTTCCCTTCCAGCTGTTGGACTGACGTCCGCCTCTGGGATGTGGCGGAATCTTCATGAAAATCCCAACACTCGCGAGGCAGGCGAGAGGGTTCCCTATTAAAAGGCTGGATTTGGGGCTTGAAGGTTGCAAATAGTGAACGAAATGCACAAGATTCCTCCCAGCTGAAGTTGGATGTGCTTTTTTTTGCTACCGGCCTTCGTAGTGGGAAATGGGATTTGGGATGGAGAAGCAGGAAATCAGATTGTGGCAAAAAAGAGAGAAGCTGTTGAGCATTAGCTCACAGTCAGTGCGCAACTGAGCTGTACAGGGCGTAGGTTCTGCGGAGACATACAGTTCCTGTTAAATCGATGCATGCATTTGCAGCAGGTTTCTGTATAATCTAAAGGTCTAAAGCAGGGTGGATAAAAACCAATGATTTAAAAAATAAATAAATCCAAAAATTAGATTTTTTAAAATTTTAATCGGATTTTTTTTTTATTTAAATCAGATTTTTAAAATAAAATGCTTTTGGAGGAAAAATCTTTCTAAAGTTAGTTTTCTCTTTAAGTTACATTATAGTCCAGAGGCTATTCATCAGGAAATAAGAATTTGTTTTAAGTTTTCATGTGTACTAAAACTCAGTCTAAGTTTTGTTTTTTAAAAATGTTTAACCACATCAGTTAACAAACATGGATACATATGCTATAATGTTATTGTTTTAATTAAATAAATTGTTATTAAGGAAATGATTATTTTTCTCCTTCCAATAAAGCACAGCAGAAAAGTTGCCCAAATATAAACAGTTAACTTATTAAACCTCACAATAATTTCATAATTACCTGTCATGTATTTTTAATAGTATAACCAAATCAGTAATTTTTGATACAACTGTAAAACCTACTCTGAAAGTTTATTATTCCAAAAATGAAACCTTCCTCTGTTTGTAAATATTAAGATTATACCAGCAAGAATGAGTCTTTCTGTAAAAAAGAAAGAAAGATTTAAATCAAGTTTTACTGACTAGTGATTTAAATCGATTTGATTTAAATCAAATCCACCCTGCTCAAAAGGGACTGCAACCATCGGGAAGAAAAATAAGCGGCAGTTAATATAGTAGGCCCTGTTTATTGAAAGGCACATTGCTCAATGGCTGTCTTGTTTACAGAACACAGCTGCCTGGAGTTAGGAGAAAACAGTGCTAACGCGACGGCAATTTGGAAGCGAACGCTTAAAAAGAACAGCCACAAAAATGTGGCCCAGCATGCTTCGCCAGAGAAAGGACTTTTCAGCTTTGAGGAGCTCCCGTTCTGAGAACGAAATGCATGCTGCAACATAAAAAAGAAAACTAAAAATTGCGAGTGTAAAACCTTCAGGCTGTAGCTTTGTCAGACACATCTACTTGCCCATGGTTAGGCGAAAGCATAAACAGACAAGAATGCTAGAATACTACAGTTTCTCATTCTGCATCCAAAACCGAAAGAGGAACATTTTCTAAATTAAGCCATTTCCCTCTATGAACCTGGCACTGCTTTTATTATTATTATTATTATTATTATTATTAATGTGAATGCATGTTGGGGCAGCGGCATATTTTGTGAATGGAAGCCTTCTCTTGCCATTAATAAATGCTGTTGTGGATTCGGTGCTGAACTGTGCTGCCTGCAGAAATGACGCAAATAATTGCATAATTTAGGGGAAATATAATTCAGCAACCCATTTGGTTTTGGAAACGCCAGTAGGCTTTGCCACGAGGTTCCCGCAAGAGCAGCATCAAGTATCTCCAAGAGTAGATTCAGGTCCATAGGGACTAGAAACTTTGATTTTAAATGGATGGATGAAAACAAAAGCACCCATTCAGCACCGATGCAGCTGGGCTGCAGAGGCCAGGCATTCGGAAACATCTCAGATAGGTTTGCTTACCCTGTCTGGCTCCTCTCCCGGAGGACACCCTTCGCAAGGGACACAGTAGCCTTTGGAACTCCAGTACTCTTGACTGCCGCATGCTTGTGCCTGGTGCCAGAAGGCGGCCTGAAAAAAGCAAAAGGGAGAGAATTTGGCACTCTGATGTCCACAGTGTTCAGCTCCTGAAGCCATCCAGAGCCAACTGCGCTACCAGGCTGGCTCCAGGCTGCTGAGACTGCCGCTGCCACGTTTCCCAGGAACAGATTTGCAAATCTGGGGACATTCCGGGGACGGAATTTGTCCGGGGACAGATTTGCAAATCCAGGGACTGTCCCCGGGAACCGGGGACATCTGGTAACCCTAACTTAACATATAGAATAAGAGAACAAGAAGAACATGCATTTAGAGAAGATTGGGAAACGTTTATTGAATATATGGGGGGAAATTGTGTACACCTGAAAACGTGGCAGCAGTAAGATAAATTCAACAGTGTACCGTATTTTTCGCTCTATAAGACGCACCCGACCATAAGACGCACCTAGTTTTTAGAGAAGGAGAACAAGAAACAAGAAAGCAACACAAAGCCTCCCTCTTTGCTCAAGAGGCTTTGCGTGGCTATCCCTGAAGTCAGAAGAGTATGAGGATTTTGTGCGCACCGATCCCTCTTGCTCTTCTGGCTTCTGGGATAGCTGCGCAGCCTGCATTCGCTCCATAAGATGCACACACATTTCCCCTTACTTTTTAGGAGGGGAAAAGTGCGTCTTACAGAGCGAAAAATACGGTAAATAAGTTTTGATGGATGCAATAATGGAATACTGAATGGTTTAGTTTGTGTAAAATATGCAGGGATTTATGATATGCAAAATGAACCATGGAAAGAGAAGAAGGGAAGTCATTGACATTTTGAGGTTGTTTAAATGAATGTTCTAAAGTGTAAAACAGAACATTTAATAAAAATAATACACACACAAAAATATATCTTGAAATGGAAGCCATTCTGATGGTGTTGAGAGAGAGAATTCACCGCCTCCCAAGGGAGCCCGTTTTACAGTTGAACAACTCCTAAAAGGCACACCATGACCTCCTCAAAGATTGAGAAGCTCCAGAGTCTGTCTTGCATGCAGTGAAGTCGCCAGAAGTCGACAACTGCTGTGGTCGTGTGTTTTAATAAGTCTCTGCTGCAAGCAGATGGAAGAAAGTTCCTGTAGGTGATGCAAAATGATTGTGATTTTTCTTTCCCTTGCATAATCTGGATTTTGCTTCCTGAAATGATGGACTAGATGCCTGCTCTCCCAAGTCCCCAATTCCATACACATCCAGACTGGTAGGTTTTTGTCCACACTGTAACCAGGACTGTGTCCCGCATGGTAAAGGTAAAGGGACCCCTGACCATTAGGTCCAGTCATGACTGACTCTGGGGTTGTGGCGCTCATCTCGCTTTACTGGCCGAGGGAGCCTGCATACAGCTTCTGAGTCATGTGGCCAGCATGACTAAGCAGCTTCTGGCGAACCGGAGCAGTGCACGGAAACGCCGTTTACCTTCCTGCCGGAGTGGTACCTATTTATCTACTTGCACTTTGTGCTTTCGAACTGCTAGGTTGGGAGGAGCAGGGAGCTCACCCCGTCGTGGGGATTCAAACCGCCGACCTTCTGATCGGCAAGTCCTAGGCTCTGTGGTTTAACCCACAGTGCCACCCGCATGGTACCCGAGGGCAACTGAACCCATCTTTCATTTCACGAGAGGCACAGGGAAAGTTCAAGGCAGGGAAACTTACAAAAAGGAAGAATTGGGAGCAGATGCTACAGAGCCAGATAACCGATGCCAGAACCTTCGGTTGCAATAAAAATATAAAATTACAACATAATTTGAAACAAAACCAGCCCATAAAGCAAACCGCAGCGAAAGAAAAACCACAGCATGCCGGGAAATAGAGAATGAGCTCAGGGAGACTTTGTATGAACTGCTTGCTCGAGAAAGGATCTCTCCACACTGAGTACAGTGAAACGATGGAATTTGTTCCCAGGGATTAGACCGATTCAGGGAGGATAATGCTGTCTCTGCTGGAATATGAGATGCCCCATCTGAATTGGCATTCCGCCGGCTCCTAAAGATGCATCTGTTTAAGGCAAGCAGTCCCCTGATCTTCTGACCTGAACTTCCTGAGCTAGCTGTTTTCACTGCTGTTTTTAATTCTTATCCTCTTCTAATGACTCGTTTCCACTGCACAATTTAATGACGGAGGCTTTCAACGTATGGATGGAATTGTTTTATTGTGCATTTTAATTATGTTGGGTACATTTATAAAATTGGTTTTACAGCTCTTACTCTCAGGAAGTTTTTCCTGATGTTTAGTTGGAATCTCCTTTCTTGTAACACTCAGAGCCATGGGTTCGAATCCTACCCTCCAGAACAGGAGGCAAAGTAATAAATATATAAGTACTGTAGAAGAATTACTGCTAAGGCTATCAATGGCTGCTACCTTCACCGTTGGAGGCAGTAAGGCTCCAAATACTAGTTTCTGGGAACCACAAGTGATTTTCTTGGCCCACGGCCAAGGACCATAGCATGAGTTTGGGAACTGGAGCATCATCAATGATCTCCACAAACTGCGGCTTCGCAGATCACGAAAGTAAACTTTTCCTCCCTCTGACTCAGTAAAAAAAACACAACACCACGAAACCCAAACAAGACCCAGAAATGCAGCAGTGGCACAAAAGACAGACGCCCATTCAGCTGACTTTTCCAGGTTTCGTGGACGCAACCACTGAAGTATTTGGAGGAGGAGAAAGTGGCAGTAGGGGGTTGCCTTGCCTGGGGTTGGACTAGATGACCCTCGGGGTCCCTTTAACTCTACAACTCTGGCTTTGAAGACACTCAGACTCAGGACGAAAGGGAGAAACGTGCTAAGAGGAAGGCACATTTGGCAAACCTCCAACATGATCAACTCCCTCCTGGGAACCTATGTCCACGCTGTGGAAGGACGTGTGGATCCAGAATTGGCCTCCACAGTCACTTACGGACTCATTGTTGAGGAATACAATCTTACTCGGCTATGAGTGATCACCAAAGAAGAAGAAGATAGGGAAGAACTCTTCGTTGGGAAAGTCAGTCTGTAATCTCATCAGCAGGTGAAATCCAGAGTTCAACACAAACCATGAAACAGGAAGGATAGGGGATAATAATATCAATAATAATAATTTATTATTTATACCCCGCCTATCTGGCTGGGTTTCCCCAGCCACTCTGGGCGGCTTCCAACAGAATATTAAAATACAATAATCTAGTAAACATTAAAAGCTTCCCTAAACAGGGCTGCCTTCAGATGTCTTCTAAAAGTCTGGTAGTTGTTTTCCTCTTTGACATCTTGTGGGAGGGCGTTCCACAGGGCGGGTGCCACCACCGAGAAGGCCCTGTGCCTGGTTCCCTGTAACTTGGCTTCTCGCAGCGAGGGAACCACCAGAAGGCCCTCGGAGCTGGACCCCAGTGTCTGGGCCGAACGATGGAGGTGGAGACACTCCTTCAGGTATACTGGACCGAGGCTGTTTAGGGCTTTAAAGGTCAGCACCAACACTCTGAATTGTGATCGGAAACGTACTGGGAGCCAATGTAGATTTTTCAGGAATGGTGTTATGTGGTCTCGGCAGCTGCTCCCAGTCACCAGTCTAGCTGCCGCATTCTGGATTAGTTGCAGTTTCCGGGTCACCTTCAAAGTAGCCCCACATAGAGCGCATTGCAGTAGTCCAAGCGGGAGATAACTAGATGGTCTTAAAGGCCCCCGCATTCTGCAGATATTCAGACGTTCTTGGCCACCTCCCTTCTCCTGATGCCTGAGTTTCTCAGAGCTCTTAGATGTCTGCTTGCGCTGGCAAGAACTGACTCACCGCCAGTTTAAGATGACAGAACAACCCCCTGGCATAATGACTGCCTAGGCAGCATTTTAGAACATGTGGCAATGTGAGTTGCAGTTCAGACCTGCCCATTGTGGTTTTGTTTCCTTCCCTTGGAAAACTTCCCCTTGTTGGCTGGGGTCCCATACATGGCCTGCCCACTCACCCCACCCCCCGCCTCAGTCAGGAGTCTATTTTGGGAAAGAGGGCGAGGGCAAAACCCAGCTGGCCAATCCCAAGTGGGGTTTAAGTGCAAAGACGTTGATGGCTTCAAAGAGACTCGTCTGTTGGGTCTTCCTGGGTTCCCTCAAGGTCACCATCTGGACCTGTCGTGCCCAAACTGTCTGCCAAAGAACATTTACGGGTCAGGAAGGAACTGCTGGTGCTACAATAAATCTTCCAAATATTAATCATGAGAAGCTCCTGGAAGGACAAAGGACAGAATAGGCTCCTATTCAATGCATTTCTTGACCTCGACTCTTTCCTTAGGACAGGTAATGGTCCCCTTCTCTGTTTTGGGTATGAGTGGTGGAGCATTTAATCACTCCTGAGGCAGAGATGCAGCTGGAGAGTGTGCTGTGTCAGAGGAGGGTGGCTAATGCCTCTCTGTATGAGTCACTGCTCTGTATATTGGAAGAAGCAAAGATCAACAGTGGCGAAGCAATGATTCTTCGACATCAACTTCGCTGGATGTGCGGATGCCTGATTATCGTCTTCCAAAACAACTGCTCTCTTCCAAACTTAAACATGGAAAGCGCAATGCTGGTGATCAACAAAAGAGGTCTAAAGACTCTTTCAAAAATGCAGTATAAACACCAGCAACTGGAAAACACCTGCCTGTGAGCACTCCAGTTGGAGAACAGCCTTGACCAAAGGTGTCATGGGCTTTGAAGATGCTCAAACTCAAGACGAAAGGGAGAAACGTGCTAAGAGGAAGGCACACTTGGCAAACCCACACCGTGATCAAACTCCCGCCTGGAAACCAATGTCCCCACTGTGGAAGGATATGTGGCTCCAGAATTGGCCTCCACAGTCACTTACGGACTCCCTTTTAAAACCGTGTTCATGGAAGACAATCTTACTCGGCTACGAAGGATCAACAAAGAAGAAGAAGTATGAGTCACTGCTCTGTGCTAGCCTCCTATCCAGATAGGGGGAGAGATAGAGTGTGGGGGAAGGGGATGGCAGAAATAGAGAGGGCACAAAAATGAAATGGCAGAAGGCGAGAGAGAGAGCATGTAAAGGCAGGGTTAGAAACAGGGAGAGAGAAAGGGGTGACTGCACCCACAAAAAAGTTCCCTTGTCCTTGATTAATAATAATAATAATTTTGTTGCTTCCAACAAAATATTAAAATACAGTAATGCATCAAACATTAAAAGCTTCCCTGAACAGGGCTGCCTTCTGGTGTCTTCTAAAAGTCTGGTAGTTGTTGTTCTCTTTAACATCTGGTGGGAGGGCGTTCCACAGGGTGGGCGCCACCACCGAGAAGGCCCTCTGCCCGGTTCCCTGTAGCCTTACTTCTCACAGTGAGGGAACCACCAGAAGGCCCTCGGCACTGGACCTCAGTGTCCGGGCCGAACGATGGAGGTGGAGATGCTCCTTCAGATATACTAGGCCTTTGAGGCCGTTTAGGGCTTTAAAGGTCAACACTAACACTTTGAATTGTGCTCGGAAACGTACTGGGAGCCAATGTGAAGAGCCAGTAAGATGCCTGGTAGGTTGGTAAGCAGCTCCTTGCTTGGCTGATGTGGATTTTATCCACAGGCAGGCAATCATTGTTTCCCTCCTCCCTCTTACAATAGACCATCACATCCTCAGGCTTACTACCAATCCGGGTGTGTGCATAAGAAAGGGGAATATTTGCAAAGCAGTGGAGGCAGAGATTGCCGGTGGAAACACTGTTGGGACCACTTTTCCAGCACGGCACGAGAGGCAACAAAGTCAAGTCATGGGGAAGAAATCACACTTACCATCAGGAGGCTGAGGGCTGACCAGAAATTCAGGGTCCTCTTCATCTTGAGGGGTTCGGTTTCAAAGCAGCCGCAAAACGAAGCTGTCGGGGGGCAGAGAACAGAGAGTTTACTGACAGAGGCCCAGCCTTTTATACTCTCCTCCAAACAGGCTGTGGTCCCAGCTCCCTTGAATGAGCTGTGTTTACCTCCATCCTCCATACAGCTCTGTTTACCCCTGCAAATTACAGTCAATTGCACAGGAAACTTATCAGCTGTGATTTAAACTAAAGAGAAGGAAACGGGAAATGTACAGGCTTCCTCCCGCGGTGGGAGTCACAAACGCTTCCCCTCTTCGGTTTATTTATGTGGGTTCAGGTGCTTTTGAAGTCATTCAGTGCCTCAGAGCCTTCCAGTTCTGAAGGAAGGCTTCTCTGCCAAAATGCCGATTGCAAGAGAAGAGCTGTGCTGGATCAGACCGAAAAAACCTGACGGGTCCAACATCCTGTTTCTCACAGGGGTAAACCAGATGTTTAAGGGATAGCCTGCGATCAGGACTTGGGCGCAACAACGCACACTTGGGGTGCCCAGCTGCTGGCATTCAAGGGAATAAAGGTCCAGTCGTGGCTGACTCTGGGATTGCGGCGCTCATCTCGCTTTATTGGCCAAGGGAGCCAGCATACAGCTTCCAGGTCGTGTGGCCAGCATGACTAAGCCGCTTCTGGCGAACCAGAGCAGCACACGGAAACGCCGTTTACCTTCCTGCCGGAGCGGTACCTATTTATCTGCTTGCACTTCGTGCTTTCGAACTGCTAGGTTGGCAGGAGCAGGGACTGAGAAACGGGAGCTCACCCCATCATGGGGATTCGAACCGCCGACCTTCTGATCGGCAAGTCCTAGGTTCTGTGGTTTAACCCACAGTGCCACCCGCGTCCCAGTATTCAAAGGAATATTATCTGCAATATTGGGAGGTACTGCAAGGCCATTGTAGCCCAATCCTCAACGAGGCTTCCAGACTGCTGCTGCTTTCAAGTGGGATTCGTCAAGTTGCACATTCAAGTTGTGCAATGGTTCGTGGGAGAGGGCTTGCATTTCCCCCGCAAAAGGTCAGACATTTTTTAGATCAGGAAAGTAACGGAGAATTGCACTGGAAAGCACGGGATTAATGCTTGCATTGCCACATCATCTAACCTCTCTGCAAACATCATCTAATCTCCATGCAAGCAAATTGAGTGCTCCATAGATGGGGTCTTGAGAAGCAGCCTTTGTCTAAGCCAGGTGTGGGGGACCTTGTTCTCCCCAAATGTGGCTGAAATACAATCCCCATCACCCCTGGCCATTGGCCATGCTTGCTGGGGCTGTTGGGAGTTGTAGTTCAGAAGCATCTGGAGAACCAAAGTTCCCCACGCTGGGCCCAATCCTTTTATAAAGCCATCCAAGTTGGTGACCCTAATAAATAATAATAGTAATAATAATAATAATTTTATTATCTATACCCTGCCCATCTGGTTGGGTTTCCCCAGCCACTCTGGGCGGCTCCCAACAGAATATTAAAAACACGATAAAACTTCAACTACTAAAAACTTCCCTAAACAGGGCTGCCTTCAGGTGTCTTCTAAAAGTCAGATACAGTGGTACCTCGGGTTACAGACCCTTCAGTTTACAGACTGCTAACCCAGAAATAGTACCTTGGGTTAAGAACTTTGCTTCAGGATTAGAACAGAAATTGTGCGGCGGCAGCGGGAGGCCCCATTAGCTAAAGTGGTACCTCAGGTTAAGAACAGTTTCAGGTTAAGAATGGACCTCTGGAATGAATTAAGTTTTTAACCCAAGGTACCACTGTAGTTGTTTATTTCCTTAACATCTGATGGAAGGGCGTTCCACAGGGCGGGTGCCACTACCAAGAAGGCCCTCTGCCTGGTTCCCTGTAACCTCACTTCTCGTGGTGAAGGAACTGCCAGAAGGCCCTTGGAGCGGGACCCCTATGTCTGGGCTGAACAATGGGGGTAGAGATGCTCCTTCAGGTATACTGGGCCAAGGTCGTTTAGGACATCTGATGGGAGGACATTCCACAGGGCGGGCGCCACCATCGAGAAGGCTCTCTGCCTGGTTCCCTGTAGCTTTGCTTCTCGCAGCGAGGGAACCGCCAGAAGGCCCTCGGCGCTGGACCTCAGTGTCCAGGCTGGACGATGGGGGTGGAGACGCTCCTTCAGGTCTACTGGGCCAAGGCTGTTTAGGGCTTTCAAGGTTGGCACCAACACTTTGAATTGTGCTCAGAAACGTACTGGGAGCCAATGCAGGTCTTTCAGGACCACCATCACATCTTGAGGACCAAATCCCCGAATTCTACCCTGTGCTGCATGAACCAGTTTTTCCTTTGGTGGGTCCTGAATCTGCCAACATTTATGCTTGTTGGATGACCCCACTGAGTTTTATGAGAGAGGGAGGGAAATCATAGAATCAGAGTTGGAAGTGACCCCAGTGGTCATCTAGTCCAACCCCCTGAAATGCAGGAATCTCAGCTAAAGAATCCATGACCAATGGCCATCCAACCTCTGCTTAAAAACCTCCAAGGAAGGAGGGTCTACAACCACCCGAGGGAGACCATTGAGCTTCAATGCCCGGGGAAAAATTGGACGGATAAGGTTTGCATTTGATTTTGCTAGTATGGCTTCGGTGCTTTGCAGTTCTCTGCCTTGCCCTACAGAGTAGCAGAAAATCCTGTTTAAGCAAACGCATGCAAACCCGCCTAATTTGCACTTCCTCCACGGATCACAGAAGGCAGCTTTTTCCTGGTGCAAATGCGCAGAATGGCTGGTGTGAACACCCAAAGGGCACCAAGCTGGCAAAAAATATATATCCAAGTTTCTAAAAGCAAGGCTGAAAGTAGGACTTAGCAAATCTCAAAGGGTTGACGGATCCCCTCTGGGGAACAGCGAGTTCCCATTATAGCGCCACTGGCAGGCTCTCCAGCCTCCTCAAGACAGCCAAACTCCCTAAAGTCACCTCCAAAATAATTGCACACGAAGCTCTCGGAAACCGTCCGCCGGCGCCGCGTCTGAAAAGAACTTTGCGCCATTAAAAGCGACCTCGGCCAACCCAGCGGCTGTGAAGAACGATCCGCGGGAGGCTAATTGGGCCGAAAGGAGCCCACAATGAAATGACCGCGCATTCATTTAATTTGATCGATTGGCTCCCCCGGAGGAACAGCCTTCCCCTTCACATCTGGCACACTTTGAGCTCACCCAGAGAAGGCTCAGGATGCCCAGACTCCCTGGCACCGCCTGGAATTGCAGCCTGGGAACACGGCCAGGAGCCGAGGTCGGGAGCAGGGGCCGGCTTGGCTGTTAGACAGACTGAACGCTTGTCCCAAGTGCCGTCTATTGGACACACTTCAGGCAGGAAGACGGCCAAGGATGGTGTCAAACGGCTCGAGTGTCGAGTCCTGAGGAGGTTACAGCTTTACCAAGGATGGAAAGCAGGTTTGTCTGGAGAAGGAAAGGTACATACCCTCCAACATTTCTCCGATGAAAATAGGGATTTTCTTTTACTGTACTATTATTATTATTATTATTATTCCCATCCCATCCAACTGGGTTGCCCCAGCCACTCTGAGCAGCTTCCAACATATATAAAAACATAATAGAACATTAAAAAACTTCCCTAAACAGGGCTGCCTTCAGAGGTCTTGTAAAGGTTGCATAGTTACTTATCTCCTTGGCTCGGGGGTTGCATAACTCCATACCCTCCAACATTTCTCCAATGAAAATAAAATAATAATTGTTTATTTATACCCCGTCCATGTGGCTGGGTTTCAAGTGGCAGGGAGTTCCAAAGTATAGATGCTGCTACACTAAGTGGAACGGTGGGAGGTAAACTGGTCCCAAGTTGTTAAGGGATTTGGATACAAATAGTAAAACCCTGAACTTGGCCTGGGAGAAAATCAGCAGCCAGTGCAGAGATCTGATCACAGAATAGTAGTAGTAGTAGTAGTAGTAGTAATTTTATTATTTACATCTGACAGGGTATCCCCAGCCACTCTGGGCGGCTCCCAACAGAATATAAATAACATGATAAAGCACCAAACATTAAAAACTTCCCTAAGCAGGGCTGCCGTCAGGTGTCTTCTAAAAGTCAGATAGTTATTTATTTCCTTGATATTTGATGGGACCTCCAGAATGAATTAAGTTCTTAACCCAAGGTACCACTGTAGTTGTTTATTTCCTTGACATCTGATGGAAGGGCGTTCCACAGGGCGGGTGCCACCACCAAGAAGGCCCTCTGCCTGGTTCCCTGTAACCTCACTTCTCTCAGGGAGGGAACTGCCAGAAGGCCCTCGGAGCTGGACCTCAGTGTCCAGGCTGAACGATGGGGGTGGAGACGCTCCTTCAGATATACTGGGCCGAGGCCGTTTAGGGCTTTCAAGGTCAGCACCAACACTTTGACTTGTGCTCGGAAAAGTACTGGGAGCCAATGTAGGTCTTTCAGGACCGGTGTTATGTGGTCTTGGCGGCCGCTCCCAGTCACCAGTCTAGCTGCCGCATTCTGGATTAGTTGTAGTTTCCGGGTCACCTTCAAAGGTAGCCCCACGTAGAGCACATTGCAGTAGTCCAAGCGGGAGATAACCAGAGCATGCACCACTCTGGCAAGGCAGTCCACGGACAGGTAGGGTCTCATCCTGCGTACCAGATAGAGCTGGTAGACAGCGGCCCTGGACACAAAATAGATAGCCCCCCTAGCAGAACGATGGGGGTGGAGACGCTCCTTCAGGTATAGTGTTGTCTTAAGGAAAAGCAGGACATTTCCAGATAAAATCAGGAACCGGGACAACTTCTGTAAATCCAGGGCCGTCCCTGGAAAATAGAGACACTTAGAGGGTCTGCCATTTTTGCACCTTTCTTTAGTGTTTTTTCACCTGGCTGGAATGGGGTCTTGAGCTCTGATAACGTCTCTCACTTGCCTGGACAGGGAACAGAGAGCAGGGGGCGAGAGGCTGTGTAGAAGTGAGTCAGTGGAAGACTCTGGGGTCTCAAATTTCAGCGGCGCCCCGTGCGCCACCAAAATCCAGCATCTGCTTGCCTCTCAAATATTTGCAACATCCCTCAAGGCTTTGCGTTCAGCACAACCGAACCGATCATGCTCCCCTAAATCTGCTTCTGCTGGATGGCAGCAGTTTGGAAAAGAGGATACCGAGAGGAGTTCTGATTTGTTGTTGTTTAGTCGTTTAGTCGTGTCCGACTCTTCGTGACCCCATGGACCAGAGCACGCCAGGCACTCCTGTCTTCCACTGCCTCCCGCAGTTTGGTCAAACTCATGCTGGTAGCTTCGAGAACACTGTCCTCTGTCGTCCCCTTCTCCTTGTGCCCTCCATTTTTCCAACATCAGGGTCTTTTCCAGGGAGTCTTCTCTTCTCATGAGGTGGCCAAAGTATTGGAGCCTCAGCATCAGGATCTGTACTTCCAGTGAGCACTCAGGGCTGATTTCCTTCAGAATGGATCGGTTTGATCTTCTTGTAGTCCATGGGACTCTCAAGAGTCTCCTCCAGCACCATAATTCAAAAGCATCCATTCTTCGGCGATCAGCCTTCTTTATGGTCCAGCTCTCACTTCCATACATCACTACTGGGAAAACCATAGCTATACGGACCTTTGTTGGCAAGGTGATGTCTCTGCTTTTTAAGATGCTGTCTAGGTTTGTCATCACTTTTCTCCCAAGAAGCAGGCGTCTTTTAATTTCGTCACTGCTGTCACCATCTGCAGTGATCACAACAGTCACGAAATATCTTCAAATATCCCATGGAAGATGAAGCAAGCTTCGTATCTCCTGCTCTGGAGGGTAGGACTCGAACCCAGGGCTTCAAGTTAACAAGAAAGGAGATTGCAACTCAACACCAGGAAGAACTTTCTGGCTGTAAGAGCTCTTCAACAGTGGAACGGATTCTCTCGGGAGAATGTAGACTCCTTCCTTGGAGGTTTTTAAGTAGAGGTTGGACGGCCAGCTGTCTACGATTCTGTGACCCTATAAGCAATTCCTCACGGAAAGCAGAACACGCTCCCTTGAAGCGGGATGCGTCTTTAGGCAAGCTCCTGTCGTCCCCGGGGAAACAGCCCCTTCTGGGTAGCGGTTGCATAACAAGCTTAATCTATCTCCGTGTTTCTTGCATTAATTGTCTCATCCCTTTTGTCAATACTGAAGAATCAGAAGCACATTCCTTGAAATTAATTAAGCAGCCCACAGTCCTACGAGACAAGCATCTGGAGGTGTTTTGCTGGGGAAGAAAATACGCTTTTTGCTCAAGGAGGTGCTGTAAAGGCATGAGCGGATCGCGGGGGCTGCTTTGAAAGGGCAGGGGGGTCCCACTCTGCACCCATTCCAAGGCCGTGCTCATGTCTTGGGCTGAAGAATGCAAGAATAGCGCTGCTGGATCAAGCCAATGGCCCATCGAGTTCTCACAGTGGCCAACCTGTGGGAAATCACACAAGCAAGGCTGCTCCTTTTATTTGCGATGGTTTCTTTTTGGAATGGTTAAAAAGGTAAAGGGACCCCTGACCATTAGGTCCAGTTGTGGCCGACTCTGAGGTTGCGGCGCTCATCTCGCTTTATTGGCCGAGGGAGCCGGCGTACAGCTTCCGGGTCATGTGACCAGCATGGCTAAGCCGCTTCTGGCGAACCAGAGCAGCGCACGGAAATGCCGTTTAGCTTCCTGCCGGAGCGATACCTATTTATCTACTTGCACTTTGACGTCCTTTCGAACTGCTAGGTTGGCAGGAGCAGGGACCGAGCAACGGGAGCTCACCCCGTCGTGGGGATTCGAACCGCCGGCCTTCTGATCGGCAAGCCCTAGGCTCAGTGGTTTAACCCACAGCACCACCCGCATCCCATTTGGAATGGTTAGTGGCTTCCATTTTTCAAAAGGCCACAAAGTACACCTGAAATAACCCCAGGGACTCAAATAGCAGCAAAAAAAGTGGGAAAACATTGTGCTTTTCGAATTTTATCGTGCTGACTTTGCAAACTTGGTAGGGAGAGGACCCTTGACTTTCCATTGCAGTGCCCATAACCTAGGTTTAAGGCGCTATTTGGCAAATAGCTTATATATCTGTGTTTCTAACACTGGAGATAAGCAGAAATGCATTCTCTCCTCCTGTAGCTTCCAGAATTCAGAAACAGCATAGCCTCTATCACAGCTAGTAGCAATTGAGACTTATTCCCCATGACTTATTATTATTAGAATTTATATACAGCCCCTATATGCAGAGGTTTCAGGGTGGTTCACAGGAAAGAGCAACACAAAACCCACAATATATATATAATCAAAAATAAAAGCAACAACCCAATAACCCCAAAAGAACTACATTTTAAAAAGGCATAGGATGTCAATAAGATCAACCAAAGGCCTGGTTAAAAAGGAACGTTTTTGCCTGGTGCCTGAAGGTGTATAATGAAGGCGCCAGGTGAATTTCCCTGGGGAGAGCATTCCAGAGACGGGGAGCCACTGCAGAGAAGGCCCCGTTCTCGTGTTGCCACCCTCTGGACCTCTCGAAGAGGAGACACATGAAGGAGGACCTCAGAAGATGATCTCAAGGTCTGGGTAGGTTCATATGCAGAGAGGCGGTCCTTGAGGTATTGCGGTCCTGAGCCGTTTAAGGCTTTATAGGTCAAAACCAACACTTTGGGCCCAGAAACTAATTGGTAGCCAGTGCAGTCAGACCAGGATCAGTGTAATATGAGCAACTGAGACAGATTTGGAAGAAAGTTCTTAAAGAGAAAAAAATAAATAAGTAAGGAATGAACTTGGATATACAGTAGTAAAGGTAAACTAGAAGGAACCACAGATGAGGAAGGAAGGAAATGGATATAAAGAATATATTGGATGTGTTAAAGTTTTACATATGTTCGTTGTAAAAGTGGAAAACGCTGAATAATTTTTTTTTTTTTTAAAGGAAGGTGAAGCAACGTATGATTATGAAGATACTGTTGAGGATCATTACTGCATGACGCTTTGCTGTTAAAACACCAGGGTCCCTTAAATCAACAAACAAACGGTATTCGAAGCCGAAACTCTGGCGCGCAAAATAACACTGTCCCACGAGAGCTTGTTACCTTGAAACCAGCAGCTAGCATTTCCCTGCAGAGGTGAAATATAAGGAAATTAGTCCAGCCCCTAGCACAGCAGGGCCTGCCAAGGAATCCCAAGAGCCAAAAGGTAGATGCTCAGTTTACAGCCCATGTCCTTAATTAGGCTCCGTCCAACGAAGCTTGGATGCTGAAGCATATTCAGGTGTCAGGATAAAAGCAAAGGCTGCCGACCGCCCTAGCCTACAGGAAGGAAAGGTCACGCTTTACCTGCGTCACAATGGCATCCGGCCAAGGCTGCCAGAAACACCATAATTCCTTCTCCAGAGAGGTAAGGTGCAGGGGCCAAGGGAAAGATGGCCTGCTGGCTCGTTTGGAGGGGTGAATTGAGGAGAAAGAGGGATGAATCAAGGGAGACTTTAGTCCTACAGTTGATGAGAAGACCACTGTCCCTGCGTTCTGCGCTAGGTGCTGTACAAAACGCTGAAATCGTGCATTTCCCGCTGGCGGTTTGCACAAACCAATATCCATCTCCATCGACATTCGGTGTGGAGATGGCACACTGGCTCCACCCACTAGGCACAGCTGCAGCCTTTCTAACCGCCCCCCCCGGCGCTCCCTCGAGGGAGAAGGGCACAGATGGCTCCTTTGTCGCTGATGTAGAAAGCAAAGCCGTGTGCACAGGAATGAGTGGGCCGCGTCATTGTTCCCAGGAATTCTCCCACGACAAAGCCCCTTTGTTAGGGGGGAAAGGGACACTCCCCAGAGAGGCTACTGGCAAGCTCCGGAGTAAAAGGACAACAAGCAGCAACAAAACTGGCCGAGGGCCAAAATGGATCAAGTACCAGTCTTCCAAGCGAGTGCCAAGGGGATCAGACAGAAAGTGGCCGAACAGAGCCAGTATTTCAGGAGTGGGCTTGAATGGTGTCCTTTAACGCAGGAATCTGTCGAGCGAGTCAGCCGCCACCGGGAAGCTGTTCAGAGAATTGTAGAGTTGAAAGGGGACCCCAAAATTCATGCAGTCCAACCCCCTGAAATACGCAGCTAAAGCACCCCATCAGCTGACCACCCAACCTCCAAAGATGGAGAGGCCACCACATTCCTATTGTCGAACAGCTCTTACCCTCAGAAAGTTATTCTGAATGTTATCAGACTCTCCTTCCTTGCCATTTGAATCCATTTAGTTCAGGAGCAGGAGAAAAGAAGCTTGCTCCATCTCCCTTCAGATATTTGAAGATGGCTATCATATCCTGATTGGTTCAAAATTAGGAAAGGAGTACTCTTGAGAGTCCCATGGACTGCAAGAAGAGCAAGCCTATCCATTCTGAAGGAAATCAGCTGAGGTTCCAATGCTTTGGCCACCTCATGAGAAGAGAAGACTCCCTGGAAAAGACCCTGATGTTGGGAAAGATGGCGGGCACAAGGAGAAGGGGATGACAGAGGATGAGATGGTTGGACAGTGTTCTTGAAGCTACCAGCATGAGTTTGACCAAACTGCGGGAGGCATAGCTGTCAACTTACAGATTTGAAAATAGGGGACCAGCAGCCTCGAAAATAAGGGATCCGCAGCCAAAATAAGGGGTTTTGCTATTGTAAAGAGTTCTGGTGGTTCCCTCACTGCGAGAACAAAGCTACAGGCAACCAGGCAGAGGGCCTTCTCGGTGGTGGCACCCGCCCTGTGGAACGCCTTCCCACCAGATGTCAAAGAGATAAACAACTACCAGACATTTAGAAGACATCTGAAGGCAGGCCTGTTCAGGGAAGTTTTTAAGGTGTGACATTTTAATGTATTTTTAATCTTTGTTGGAAGCTGCCCAGAGTGGCTGGGGAAACCCAGCCAGATGGGTGGGGTACAAATAATAAATTATTATTATTATTATTCAGTCATGGAATCATACAGCTCTTACCATCAGAAAGTTCTTCCTGATGTTTAGTTAGATTCAAGTTACAAGAGAGGAGATTCCATCGGTTTGGGTCCCAGCCTCTGGAGCAGGAGAAAATAAGAGATGATGGGAATTGTAGTCCACAACATCTGGAGGGCTACAGCTTTCCCACTCCTGGTTTTAACTTGTGTGAGTAACGCACGGCGAAGTCTCAGAAACCAAGGAAGTAATTGAATACAATTTCACATTCCCACTGGGTGGGAGCTTTGGGTCTCTGCTTCGAATTCTGCCTTCGTGTATCAGGGGAACATTTACAGAACAGATTCACAAAAACAGGCACCAGCCTAACGTTTTCCTTCTCCCACCCACCCCTCCAAAGTGGCTCCCTTTAGCTCACATTCCCAAGATTCCTCTGGCAATTCCAGGGCTGGCTCCATACTTTACCAGAGATGGGGAACAGCTGAGAGGGATGAGTCACTGCGGGGCGGGGGGGGGGGAGAGACAAAAGCGCTGACTCATCAGGCCCGCCCTGCCCCACAGGGGAAAAGTAGGTCAGCTTGATGCAGAAATTTGAGACGTACATGGCTAACATTGCCCCCACATCCTTTTGCTACCGCACCACAAAAATTCGCCCTTGCGGCAATAGTCTCTCTTTTCAAAATATTACAGAGGCTACACCCTACTCTGAATTGAGGGATGCTTCCTCCGGGTCGTCTATCAGTATATTTTGCTTTAGGATTGTAATAAGAATTCCAAGGTCTCAAATGTAAATCAAATGTCCATAAATGTACCAGGCAAACACACACACATAAGTACCGGTATATAAACCACATGTCTGAAATAGCACAGTGCATAGCTGCCAACGTTTCCCTTTTAAAAAGGGAAATTCCCTTATTCCCAATAGGATTCCTCGCAAGAAAAGGGAAAAGTTGACAGCTATGCACAGGAGAACAACCCTGAAGCCATTTTGACTCTCCCAAATTGACCTCAAATATTTCTCTGCAAGGAGGAAGGAAATAGGGAAAAGCATCCCCGTTGTCTTTTGCTTACAAATCCTGTCTTAAGGGCATATTTGTGCATGAACAGGGTGAGCCTGTGACCTGGATTCAGGAACTAAAGTATTAATCATCACAAAAGAATGGCCAGGATGGCCAGGTAAAAGCAATCAGTGACCATTATCAGGTATCCTGGAAAACAGGATTTCTGCTGTAGACCTCCTCCTTCTGTGATGTCTGTATGATGTCTTGTGCTACAGGGTGGGCCATTTCAAAAGTCTATATAGGGGCTTGCACACCATTGTTCTGGGTTCTCCTCCCGCATGTGGTGAGTGGGGACCCTGTTGCAACAGTTAATAAAGATCAGGCTTACTAGCCGCTTTGCTTCTCAATATACTCTGGTTGGCCTCTGTCATTTTCTCCTACCGATAGGGAACCCACTTAAGGGCTCTTGGATAAGGGGAAAGGAAAAGGTTTTTTTCTTATAACAGGAAAGAAAGAATGGCTTTGCAAGAAAAACAAGTTTAACGGGGAAAACCTGTGCAGAAAAGGGCCAGCTTCCTCTACCGCCGCAGCTCCAATGACTCAGGAGACCCCTAAATGCGACTAGCTTGACCCCAAGATGACGAGAACCCTGATCCGTTTCTCCTGGTACTTTTGCGACATCAGGCGCTCTTGCTCACTGTTGCTAAAACACAGCCGAGCCCTCCCCTGTGAGTCTGTGCATGCTGTTCCCGCAGCAAAGCTTTTTGGCAAAAGCAGAATTAATGGTCCTAAATGGTTGCTAAGGGCATCTCCTGCTGTCTGGATGAGGAATCAGAAGAATTTCGGTGTTTGGAGTCAGCAAACCGAAAGGCAAAACTGACAAAAGAGCTTTTGTATTGTTGTGGTAAAGGTAAAGGGACCCCTGACCGTTAGGTCCAGTCGCGGACGACTCTGGGGTTGCGGCGCTCATCTTGCTTTAGTGGCCGAGGGAGCCGGCGTACAGCTTCTGGGTCACGTGGCCAGCATGACTAAGCCGCTTCTAGCGAACCAGAGCAGCGCACGGAAACGCCGTTTACCTTCCCGCCGGAGCGGTACCTATTTATCTACTTGCACTTTGACGTGCTTTCAAACTGCTAGGTGGACAGGAGCAGGGACTGGGCAATGGGAGCTCACCTGGTTGCGGGGATTCGAACCGCCAACCTTCCAATCGGCAAGTCCTAGGCTCTGTGGTTTAACCCACAGCACCACCTGCGTCCCCTTATTGTTGTGGTGGATGTGCCAAATTGGCCAGAGCCCAGTCTCAAACTTGGAGTTAGCCCTACAACTAAGGCTACCACCTGCCCGGAACTGTGGAGTCTGAATTTGGCCTAAAGGTCTGAAGTGCCCCCATGGAGATAGCCAGTGGAAGAGGGGTGTTGAAGGGTAATTATTCTTAACTAATAATATTGGATAGGATTGTCTGGGGCAATGATGGAGTCCTGTCAGCAAGTCTCTGACATGCGGCAATTGTTTTGCACATGCAAGCCATCGGTTGGAGTTGAATGAGTTCACAGTCTGCCATCCCTCAACTCTCCTCATCCCTGGTTCCATAATTCAGCACAATAAAAGGGGGTTTGCCTCTTTAGCTCACAGCGCAAGCTATTTATTGCAATTCTTGCATCCTCTGCACTATGCTAAAAATGTCCAACTGCAACAGTCTCCAAGCAGACAACCGCAGAAATATTTATAGACCACAAAGTCTTCTTTTTATAAAGTACCTGCTCCTTGAATCCCTAGGAATGTGCGTGGAGCTGACTTGGTTTAACCCCGGAGTTGCTTAGCATATTCTTCACTTTTATTTTTGCAATGGCAAGTGAGGATTTCAACAAACGAAAGTTGTACTGCTGTACTTCCCGATAAGAGAGGCTGTTTGCAAGCAAAAATTTACAACTTTGATACAATAAGGTTGTTGCAGCAATTGATTAGCTCTACCTCTGCAGACCCCTCCCCCCGCTTCATAGAAATAGGCAACAGAGGGGGAAGAGAAAGTAGACAATCAACCATAAACCATGGTTTGCTTAATATACATTTGTAACCATGGTACAAACCAAGGTTTCGTGTGATGCCCGAACCGGGTTAGAGCACTGTAGCGGTTAGAGTGTTGGTCTAGGACCTGAGAGGTAAAGGGTAAAGGGACACCTGAACATTAGGTCCAGTTGTGGCCGACTCTTGGGTTGCGGCGCTCATCTCACTTTACTGGCCGAGGGAGCTGGCCTACAACTTCCGGGTCATGTGGCCAGCATGACTAAGCTGCTTCAGGCGAACCAGAGCAGCGCATGGAAACGCCGTTTACCTTCCCGCCGGAGCGGTACCTATTTATCTACTTGCACTTTGATGTGCTTTTGAACTGCTAGGTTGGCAGGAGCTGGGACTGAGCTACGGGAGCTCGCCCCATCATGGGGATTCGAACCACCGACCTCCTGATCGGCAAGTCCTAGGCTCTGTGGTTTAACCCACAGCGCCACTCGTGTCCCACAGTGTTGGCTATTTGCAGTATGGTAGCGCTGCAGAGAGCTTGCTGGGGAGACCATGCATTAAAAAGGGACTCAAAAATAGCTTAAACAAGGTTTTAATTACAAAAACAAAAACTCCTTATACACTAAATACATCAACAACAAACCAGTCCCAACCACCAACCCATCCCCCAGGGTAATGGGAGAGCTAGGTGCTGCTCCTTATATACTACACCCAATTGCCAACACAGCTTAATCAATACAACTCAGCAGCACCTGCTATGTTTCACAGCTGTAAATCTGGGTCTCGTTATCTTGCTTTGGCCCTTGCTCTGGCCCCTTAAAGACATACACATCGAGTGGAACAGTGATGAACCTTTACATTTAAAGAAACCATTCACACAGGACCTGAGAAACCAGGGTTCAAACACCCACTCAGCCACGAATGAAGCTCACTGGGTAACCTTCACTCAGTCAGTGTCTCCCAGACTAACTTACATCTCAGGATCATTGCGAGAGTAAAATGGAGAGGTGTGGGAGGGAAACTATGCATGCCAATTTGTGCTCCTTGCTAGTGATAATAACGAGAGCAGTAATAAACTCTCTGCAGAACAAGTGCTGACAATTGATGTTTGCATCCCTCCAACCAGCCCTAACTTTTAGGTTGGAAGAGAGGCCATTTTTCTCTCTTGCAAGACGACACATCTGACACAAACAGACAGATAGGCCAGCAGTGATGATATGGGAAGAAATGTGCTTGCCGCCGTTTGCCTGATAATTTAACCTCAGGTGCCCTTAGAATAAGAAACAAAACATCGCCACCCAACCCTTCTAACACGCTCACCTAGAAATAGCCTGGTGCTCACCTGACACATAGACATCAAACAGACAATTACTTCTCCTGGTTGCAGAGAGGAAAATGCTCTCCCTCGCTCAGCTTATCTCTATGTCCAGGAAAATTAATTAGCTGCTGGGTTTTTGTAAGTGCGCCAAGCTACCATAAAAGCGCAGGAGCCAAGCCGATAAAAGGCAGCTGAGCAACAATTACCGTATTTTTCGCTCTATAGGATGCACCCGACCATAGGACGCACGTAGTTTTTTTGGGGGGGGAGGGGAGAACAAGAAAAAAAATTCTCTCCCTCTCTGCGCAGCGCCCCTTCAGCGAAGCGGCAGGAGAAACGGAGCCCCTTCCGTTTCTCCTCCCGCTTCGCTGAAGGGGCGCTGCGCAGAGAGGGAAAGCTGCGCAGCGCCTCTCTAGCGAAGTGAAGCCAGGAGAGCAAGAGGGATCGGTGTGCACTGATCCCTCTTGCACTCCAGGCTTCAGCGAAAGCAACATGAAGCCTCCGGAGCGCGGGGGGAGCGCTTCCACTGCGCTTCGGAGGCTTTGCGTTGCTCTCGCTGAAGCCATGGAGCCTGCATTTGCTCCATAAGACGCACACACATTTCCCCTTAAAAAGTGCAACTTATAGAGCGAAAAATACAGTAACTTCACGGTTCTAATCCAGAGGTAGGGAACTGCAGGCCCAGGAGCCAAATGTGGCCAGGCCTCTCTATTCAGCTTGCAGGATTCTCCCGACGCCCCACCTCCTCCCCCCAGGCTTGCTCTGCCTTCTTCCAGAATGCATTCGACTGGCTGGAGTGGGTCCTCAAACTAAGGTTCATCTCCCATCCAGACCAGCTTAGCCTGATATCATCCCCCGCCGAAGGATTCCTTCTTGCAAACTGCCACCAGTTCTTGGAGGGGAGCAAAACATGAATCTTCAGCTGGGATGTCATTTTAGGAAGCTTGCGTAGGAAAAATAAAACCCTCTCTCCGAAGGCAAGGGAAAGAGAAAAGTCCCAGACTGTGAAATTGTTTGGCAAGTCTTCCTTAAAGAAAAAGGCACACATGGTAAACACTTTAAGGGACACCTTAAAGCAGCCTTTCTCAACCTGTGGCTCCCCAGATGTTGTTGAACTACAACTCCCATCACCCCTAGCTAGGAAGGCCAGAGCTCAGGGATGATGGGAGTTGTAGTCCAACAACATCTGGGGACCCACAGGTTGAGAACCGCTGCCTTAAAGTATTGGCCATGTTTGCCTATTTCTTTTCACCAGGTGTGAAAACTGATCGTTATGCATTCAAGTTACGAAACTTTTAGAAGACATCTGAAGGCAGCCCTGTTTAGTGAAGCTTTTAATGTTTAATAGGTTATTGTATTTTAATGTTCTGTTGGAAGCCGCCCAGAGTGGCTGGGGAAACCCAGCCAGATGGGCAGGGTATAAATAAATAATAATAATAATAATAAGCCTGATTTGTTTACAGGGAGATTAGACCAGGCATAGGCAAACTCGGCCCTCCAGATGTTTTGGGACTACAATGCCCATCATCCCTAGCTAACAGGCCCAGTGGTCCGGGATGATGGGAGTTGTAGTCCCAAAACATCTGGAGGGCTGAGTTTGCCTATGCCTGGATTAGACGGTGCCAGCTATCTGTTCTGAAGACGTGTCATCATCAAGCAAGTGTTATCCTGCACCTTCCCATCGCTTCCCTTAATCAGCTTGAATTGCACAACCTGAATTTGCGATCCAGTCACGCCTGGGGGCAGGTTGGAACGCCCCCTCAATACGGAAACAGGAAACTGTTGACAAAGGGAGAAATCCGGCACTCCAAGGCGGCTATTCTAGTCAGGGAACTCTGAGGCCGTGCCAAGGGAGAGTCCTTTAGCGCCCAGGAGGAGAGAGAGGTCTTATTTCCCAGAGTCAGGGCACAGACAGCCACGCAGCAAGAACAGAGTCATCGTCACACCCTTGCAAGCACAGCAGATCTTTTCTTGGGGGAAGAAAAGGGCGCACTCAATCTCTGCTGTTGCTCTGCAAAGGCATGCTCAGAGGCGATTTGGGTGGCACTTCCTGGGGCCTGAAAGAGAACTACAGGCTCAAAAAGTAAGATCTCTAGGATGGGCTTGGTGGCCGAAAAGTGACACAGACATGGTACGAATTGTAGAGGGGATTCCAAGGACTTTTAGAAGACATCTGAAGGCAGCCCTGTTTAGGAAAGCTTTTAATGTTTGATGCATTACTGTATCTTAATATTTTGTTGGAAGCCGCCCAGAGCGGCTGGGGAAGCCCAGCCAGATGGGCGGGGTATAAATAATAAATAAATTATTATTATTATTATTATTATTATTATTATTTATTATTATTATTATTATTATTATTATTATTATCCTCTAGTCTAACCCCTGCAATGCAGGAAATAGAAACACCGTGGGAAAACTGGTTGGGAAATTGGGGGAGGGGGGGGAATAAAAATTATGTATTGAAGAATCTATGTCAAACTTTTGAAAATTCAATAAAATTCGTTCTAGAAATGCAAAAAGGAAAGAGGAAAATGGTTGAAAAGAGGCCATTTGATCACACGTCTCTAAGCAGCTAAAGAACCAAAATGGGTCTCATTACGGCTACAGCAGACGATCAATATTGCCCTACTTAGTGATGGCTTTCATGAGAGCTTTCGTTCAAAATGAGTGAAAAATGGATCATGCAACAACAGAGGTGACATTAGTCCTTTGGTGACATGTCATGTTTCTTTTTTAGATATGGTGGTAGTTGGATAAAGCCCCCCCAAAATATGCAAAAACAAGTTATTTCTTTCCGAAGAGTGCAGCACAAAGATATTGGCCTTAAAGTACCCAGAAGCCATCTGCAGAAAAGCCTAGCCAGCCAGCTCAGTGGTTAGAGCACCTGCTTCAAATGCAGAAAACCCCGGGTTCAATCCTGAATGAAACCTCCACATTTCAAGGCAATTGCAACCCGGCAATTAAAAATGCGTTTTTAAAAGGTCCCTGAACTCTGAGACTAAATTATTTTAGCCCTCATGGTCAACAGCCGAACACTGCATTGAACAGGATTGGGCTTTTATTTCATGGGCCTCTGTGTGCTTACTCAGAAGTAAAGGCCCACCGTACCCCAGACAGGTGGGGTAATTTTTTGTGGGGTGCATTCTGCAACACATCATTTTTTTTTTTGCAATATAATTTTCTTTAATTAAACGTTTCAAACATTTTCACAATCGTCTTCATATCAAAGAGTTTCACCCCATAAACTGACTCCCCACCTCCACCGTGTTTTCACTCAAACCTTTTCTACTGCACTATGGACTCAGCAAAAAAGCATTTTATGCGCGTTGCAACACTGTGACACCCGGTGGCGCTGTGGGGGCGTGCGTTTCGCCAACGTGATTTACCATAATAAAGTTCACAACGCGTTTCCCTATAACGCTTTTCTGATGTGTGTAGATCCAGCCTAGATCTTTATTATCCAAAGTTTCTCCATTACAGTGGTACCTCGGGTTAAGTACTTATTTCGTTCCGGAGGTCCGTTCTTAACCTGAAACTGTTCTTAATCTGAAGCACCACTTTAGATAATGGGGCCTCCCGCTGCCACCGCATGACTTCTGTTCTCATCCTGAAGCAAAGTTCTTAACCCGAGGTACTATTTCTGGGTTAGCGGAGTCTGTAACCTGAAGCGTATGTCACCTGAAGCGTATGTAACCCGAGGTACCACTGTACAATTATTTTCCTTCCGCTGCTTTCATTTTGAATCCTGCCTGTGATTTCAGCTGACTACGGTATTTTTAAAGAATATTCCATGAAAGGCCTCCTCCATTCTTCTGTTAAAAGGGTCGCCATTTTGATCTCTTAATTTCGCTGTCAGCTTTGCCGTCTCAGCACGGTCCATTCCTTTCAAAAGTCTCTCCTCCTTTGCTGGGACCTGCTATGCTTTCTGTTTCTGCGCATATAATATTCTCGCTGCTGTTCATTCTGCAACACGTCGTTGATGCCACAGTCGTGGGTTAGTGGAAGACCTACACTGGATCACGATTTATTAGGTCTTGTGTGGTGCTTCCCCAACATGGCTGCCATTATTGCCATCTTGCCCAACGGCACAACAAAAGTGGGACAACAACTAAAACCCAGTAGATTTGTGGTATAAGAAGTTCCAGGGGAAAGCTGCGGGACACAAAGCAACTGGGAATGAATCAGGATAGCATTGCCCAAACATCTGTACAGTGGTACCTTGGTTCTCAAACTTAATCCGTTCCAAAACCAAAGCGTTCCAAAACCAAAGCGCACTTTCCCATAGAAAGTAATGCAAAACCGATTAATCCGTTCCAGACTTTTAAGAACAACCTCTAAAGCAGCAATTTAACAGGAATTTTACTACCTAATGAGACCATTGTTCCATAAAATGAAAGCAATAATAAATGTACTGTACTATAAGATAAATAAGACAGTATTGCAGATGATAAAAATTAAAATTATTATTTTCCTTAGCTGCACTGATGATAGTCACTGTTTGGATGGGGGGCTTTTATCCATTTCCGCAGTCACACAATCAATCAGTCAGTAACTGAACTGGGTTCCACACAGTCACAAAAACAAATTAACCAAAAAAGCCTCCGAAACAAAAACACAAAAGAAATAGCAAAAAAGAAAAGCGCCAAACTTCTGTTTGGCTTCTGAAATGTTCGAAAACCAAGGCGCAGCTTCTGACTGGTGCAGGCGCCCCAGAAACAATAGCCAACAGTCGCATCGGATGTTCGGCTTCTGGAAAACGTTCAAAACCCGGCACACTTACTTCCGGGTTTTCGGCGTTTGAGAACCAAGGCATTTGAGAACCAAGATACCACTGTAAAACCCGGTAGATTTGTGGTATAAGAAGTTCCAGAGTTAAGTTGTGGGACATGCAGTGATTGGGAATGAACCAGGATGTCCGTCCCCAAATATCTGCAAATGCAAACAGTATTGAGACTGGGATGGCCTATAACCATCCCAAAACCTTCCTAAACACAAACCACCACAAACATATTCACAGGGTCTTGGCACAAGATAGCCAACACGTAGTTTTTGCCTTGAGCAGAGCGTTGCCAACTGACCAAACAAGAAGGCAGCCCGGCCTGCTCTTGCGCCTTTGAAACAGAAGCCGGGTCTTCAGAAGTCTGCAGGCAACCTTCCAGCGAAAAGGTGTTTTTTAAAAATCTGCTGGAGCGTCTCTGCGAGAAAACCGCTGTTAAAAGCGCACGTGCACAGAAGCAGGGGCCGGCTGAAACGTTGGCAACGCTGGCCCATCCCCCGGTTGACACATGTAACATCAGTATTAAGCGGGTGAACAGAGAAAGAGAGAGATGCCAAATATAACCAGCTTTCCAAATTACCCGATTAACAGCCTCTGCTGGGAAATAACGAACATTAGTGAGTCAGAGAGAAAGAGTTGTCAAGCTGGCTGAGTTGCCTAAGATTAGATAATTAACTCTAATGTGCCGAACACTAGAGCTTTTATAAGACTCTTCTTTTAAAACTTTCTGCAAGAATAGGAAAATCAGCCTCCCTCCCCCTCTGGAATACGACACACCAATTATCTGCCAGAGGATGGCAGAAAGAGCTTAAGGCTACAGGTGAACATGGAGAATGGTCTCTACATTTTTCCTGGTCCCCTCTGCTGCTTTGGGACTGATGGGAGCTGGAGAGCTCCAGGGTATTTTTTTGGGTGAGGAGATCGCTCTGGGCCTCCTGTTGTAAATAAAAATTGCCCTTTTCCCTTATGGGGTATCCAAGAGCCCATATAGAGTCCTTACATAGGTTCCCTATTGCTAGGAGAGAATAACAGAGGCCAACCAGAGAATATTTGAGAAGCAAAGCAGCTAGTAAGCCTGATCTTTATTGATCTGTTGCAACAGGGTGTTGCCTTCACACGCAGGAGAGAGGAGGGACCCAGAAAAATGGCATGCAAGGCCTTATAAAGACTTTTGAAATTCCCATCCTGTAGATCAAGACCACCCCCAGAAACATCATACATACATCACAGAAGGGGTGTAACCTAAGACCACCCCTCAGATACATCACACCTACATCACCAAAAAGGTGGTCTAAAACAGAAATTTGAATATTGTTTTTCTCTTGTTGTTGTTGTTTATCTCCTTTCTGGCAGGTTACTTGATTGGATTGCCTGGGGAGCCTGGCCATTCTTTTAAAACATTTGGTCAGTTTGGGAATCAAAATGGTTCCAGGTCGGTCTTCTTGTGCTGATCTATGTACGTGCTTGGTTGGTACACTTATGAACATTACCATATATCTAAGACCATAAAATTCCTATCACACTCCCCTTCCTGTCCCTGTTCTCTAGAATCCCCTTACTCCAACCATGGCCATACTTGGCCCTCCAGCTGTTTTGGGACTACAATTCCCATCATCCCTGACCACCGGTCCTGTTAGCTAGGGATGATGGGAGTTGTAGTCCCAAAACAGCTGGAGGGCCCATTTTTGGCCATGCCTACGAAACCTGGCACAGAGCAAAGGCTTTTTGCGAGAAGCAGGCCACAAAATGACCAGCTAAGCAAGAGAAGGAGAGAGGCTGTCACAGGGAAAAAAATAAATGTTGATTTAATTTAAACAGAGACAGGAGCACTTATAGACGCCGAAATGGCTGCAGAGAACGCCAGAAAAGCGGCACAGAAAAGAAACAACGGACTCAGTGCTCATTCAATCTTTCTCGGCTATAACGGGCACCCGGGGGTTTAGGCACAGAGGAGGGGAATAGCCAGAGCTGCCTTGCCAAATTATTTGAGGCAGTGGCCTTTTCTAGTCCCACCTAAAACAAATGCTGTATAGTTAAAGCTCTGGTTTTCCCAGTAGTGATGTATGGAAGTGAGAGCTGGGCCATAAAGAAGGCTGATCGCCGAAGAAATTATGCTTTTGAATTATGGTGCTGGAGGAGACTCTTGAGAGTCCCATGGACTGCAAGAAGATCAAACCGATCCATTCTGAAGGAAATCAGCCCTGAGTGCTCACTGGAAGGACAGATCCTGAAGCTGAGGCTCCAGTACTCTGGCCACCTCATGAGAAGAGAAGACTCCCTGGAAAAGACCCTGATGTTGGGAAAGATGGAGGGCACAAGGAGAAGGGGACGACAGAGGACGAGATGGTTGGATAGTGTTCTTGAAGCTACCAGCATGAGTTTGACCGAACTGCGGGAGGCAGTGGAAGACAGGAGTGCCTGACGTGCTTTGGTCCATGGGGTCACGAAGAGTCGGACACGACTAAACAACAACAAACAACAGCACAAATGCCCAAACACACTTCATGCCATCACAGAGTAAGTACGGTAAATGAGGTGCAAGGAATCTTAGACCCTCCAGATGTTGAACTACAATTCCCATTGTCCCTGGGCCACGCTTGCTTGGGTTGATGGGAGTTGTAGTTCAGCAACATCTGGAGGGCCAAAGGGTTCCCCACCCCTGAAATAAAGCCTGCTGCAGACAGAGAAGAGATCAGGCATCCCCAAACTCGGCCCTCCAGATGTTTTGGGACTAAAACTCCCATCACCCCTAGCTAACAGGACCAGTGGTCAGGGATGATGGGAATTGTAGTTCCAAAACAGCTGGAGGGCTAAGTTTGGGGATGCCTGGAAGAGATCCTCAAGCAAAAGAACTGCCCCAGTTTTCTCCAAGCTGGTGTCTTCCCAGATGTTTCGAAACTATACCTCCCACCAGGCTCAGCCAGCCCAGCCATGCACACTTCACAATACTGCTGATAGATCAAGTTTTGTGTTGGTCTATGGCAAGCAGGGTGTGTGGGGAGAAATATCCAGGTTATTTGCCTTCCCCAACCTGTCTTTTCAAAGTGGGATTGCTTTTGTTGCAAATGTGAGAAGAAAACAGAGGACAGACATCGCACAAACAAGCAGCTGGCAATTGATGGAGGGCAGACAAAGGAAGAGGGAATTTTCCTGAACTTTGAAGGAGAGAGGACTTTGAAACAAAAACAGCAGGATATGAGGATGTGATGAAGAGGAAGAAAGATCAACAGCAGGTGTTAAAATAGCCACTTTGGGCGGACAGAGAGCTCCTCTTTAAAGTTTGGGAAAAGCGTGTGGGGGATAGAAGAGATAAAGAACTGTAAACATGGGCCAGACAGTGAGCTACAGGATCACTAATGATTTCAGGGGGAAAGTAAGAAAATTAGTTGCATGCAGTCACAGTTCCTGGGTAGAATCCGCACCCAAATCTGGTCAGCTGGTCCTTTGGGCAAGCTGTAAAAACCTCAGAAGTTTTCGGCAGCACATAAATGGGCAGAATTTCCGCTCACCTTTCCCCACAGTTGGGATAAAGCATAATTTGAGGAATTGTACAAAGCCCAAAGCAATGACAAACCTAGACAGCGTCTTAAAAAGCAGAGACATCACCTTGTCGGCAAAGGTCCGTATAGTTACAGCTATGGTTTTCCCAGTAGTGATGTATGGAAGTGAGAGCTGGACCATAAAGAAGGCTGATCGCCGAAGAATTGATGCTTTTGAATTATGGTGTTGGAGGAGACTCTTGAGAGTCCCATGGACTGCAAGAAGATCAAACCTATCCAGTCTTAAGGAAATCAGCCCTGAGTGCTCACTGGAAGGACAGATTGTGAAGCTGAGGCTCCAATACTTTGACCACCTCATGAGAAGAGAAGACTCCCTGGAAAAGACCCTGATGTTGGGAAAGATGGAGGGCACAAGGAGAAGGGGACGACAGAGGACGAGATGGCTGGACAGTGTTCTCGAAGCTACCAGCATGAGTTTGACCAAACTGCGGGAGGCAGTGGAAGACAGGAGTGCCTGGCGTGCTCTGGTCCAGGGGGTCACAAAGAGTCGGACATGACTAAACAACAACAACAAAACCCAAAATACGTTCAGATGTTCCAAATGTACAACGGGCAACACAGCAACAGTAGACTCATAGGACTGTAGAGTTTGACATGAGCCCATCTAATCCAACCCCTTCCAATTCAGGAATCCCAGTTAAAGAATTCCTGAGAGAGATGCTCACCTGACCTCTGCTTCAAAACCGCCAAGGAAGGAGAGTCCACCTTCTGATGGTTTGGACCACAATCCTGCCACTGGCATGAGGGAGGGGGTGTGGTGTGGTGTGGTGTCCCACTTTAGCAGTCCACCTGCGGCATTTTTTTGCAGCCTCTGCAGCTTCCAGACAAAACTCAAGTTCCCGCTGAAGCAAAGTTTACTGGGTGGCAGCTGCAGAGAGAGAGAGAGAGAGATGGGATGGAAATTTACTTGGGCCGCCACAACATCTCGTGGCATCAGTGTGGCTCCTTGCCAAAGAGCTCTGTCTTTCTCTCTCTCTCACGCGCTATTTATTGTTTTCACTGACACAGATTTCTTTTGTTTGCAGGAAGGGAGCCCTGAGTTCCTCTCCTCTGAAATATCTTTGTTGCGACAACAGAGAGGCAGCCACGGCCAACCGAGTGGGTCTGGGTGGCGAAGACGTGAGCCCCAGCATCGTCGGCTGGAAGAGCATTGAAGTAGGTCAGGCCCCACATTTTATGCAAGGGGGGGGGGACAGAAAGGCTGAAGGATGGAGCAGAGACTGGCAATTAGGAGCTCCTATCTGGACTTCCCGTTATAGATCGTCTGCTTAAAGCTTTCCTCCTCTGCACCACCTGTGGATTCAAACATTGCACCCGTGGGAGCTAATTATCAAGGGTCTCTAAACATTGGTGCAGCTGTGTGGGAGGCGTTCAGAGGGGAAAAGAACACAAGAGTCCGGCTGGACCAGACTAAAGGACCGTATAGACAGGGATGATCATATGTGCCTCTCTCTATGGAGGGATAGCAAGGTAAAGGGACCCCCTGACCATTAGGTCCAGTCGAGGCCAACTCTGGGGTTGCGGTGCTCATCTCACTTTACTGGCCAAGGGAGCCGGCGTACAGCTTCTGGGTCATGTGGCCAGCATGACTAAGCTGCTTCTTGCGAACCAGAGCAGCGTACAGAAACGCCGTTTACTTTCCTGCCAGAGTGGTACCTATTTATCTACTTGCACTTTGACGTGCTTTCAAACTGCTAGGTTGGCAGGAGCAGGGACCGAGCAATGGGAGCTCACCCCGTCACGGGGATTCGAACCGCCAACCTTCTGATTGGCAAGTCCTAGGCTCTGTGGTTTAGACCACAGCGCCACCCATGTCTCCCTATGGAGGGATGGTTTGCTCCAGTTCCTGTTTAGAGATCTGGGGAGGGAGATGCAGGTTCAGGAGAGGGCAACCAAAATGATCAAGCAGGCGCAGCAAATCCCCTGTAAAGACAGCTTGCAGCGCCTGGGACATTTTAGTTTGGAGAATAAGCATAGAAATGTCCCCAATTGTGCATGGTATTTCAAAAACGGATGGAGAAAAGTTTTCTCTGTCACTCCTGACTTGTGACCACCCGAGAAAGCTGAATGTTGGAAGGTTCAGGGCAGATAAAAGGAAGGTCTTTTATCACACAGTGCGTAAACTGTGGAACTCCCTTCCACAGTAGGCAGTGAGGGTCAACAACAGCAGAAGGTTCTCAGACGTGGATTGGTTCTGTGATGTACTGAAGTTCTCACCCTGGGCCAGCAGGGGGATACTGTAGATAGTTTTCACTCAGGTCCACATATGCAAATAAGGGGTTGAAAGTGCCGTTCAGTGATTGGATAGTTACAGAAAGTGGTTACAGTTGCGTTGTAGTGGAGCTCTATATAAGCAGGCTGGCTGAACCCTTCAGTTCAGTTCTGTTCCAGCTTACAAATAAAGAGCTGTTTTGGAGAAATCGCTGTGTGGTCTGCTATGCCCACCCACTATCTAACAGGTTCAATCCCAATCCAGTAAACAACAGCAACAGAAACCAGTTTTGGCGCTCTTATCGCAAACATGCTTCCCAACCCCCAATCCCCAGCGTCTTCAAAGAATGCTTGCAGTTTTTGTTTTAATAAGATCATACGATACCGCGATTAACAAAAGCGATCCAATTTCTGTTGCAGAACCTTTTTGGCTCCTGCTTTCCTCAGCTGCTCTGGTGAAAAATGAAAGGATGCTACTGCAGTTACAGAGATTTGAGGAGGGAGTGATTCCTATGCTGGAAAACTAAAGGTTTTACGTTTTCTTTTTTGCTCATAAAGCACGGGGGGGGAGGGGAGAAGAGAGACTGATGGTGGATCAGCTTGCTGATACGCATTTGCTTGTGCAAAGAAAACTGCAATGCAGGGTGAATCACAGTGTGAGTCAAAGATGCCACCTAGTCTTCACCCAGAGAAGGATTTCAAACCTCTTGCAAAGCAGCTGGAGAAGGAACTTAAAAGTTGTGGCTGCATACAGCACACTGTTAGAATGGGAGACGAAAGATGAAGAGGTAAAATCAGTCATGATCAAATGGGCACAAGATATAGGTCATAATATCATGATGGAAGATTGGGAAAGGTTATGGAAAATTGATTTAAAATTTACAGACTGTTCTTTGTTGAAAGAAAATTATATGAAGATGATGTATAGACGGTATATGACACCAGTGCAGCTTGGGAAAATGTATAAAACTAGCTCAAATATGTGTTGGAAGTGTAAGGAAAAGGAGGGGACATTTTACCATATGTGGTGGGATTGTAATGAAATTTAAAAAATTTTGGGAAATGATATACAATGAATTGAAGAAAATGTTCCATCTAACATTTGCTAAGAAACCTGAAGCATTTCTGTTAGGGATTGTAGGGAAAGACCTGCCAAGGATGTTGAAAAATATCTTCATGTTTGCGACAACGGCGGCGAGAGTCTTAATCATAGCTGTCAACTTACAGATTTGAAAATAAGGGACCAGCAGCCTTGAAAATAAGGGACCAGCAGCCTCACCTGTTCCAGGCACTCCAGTCTTCCTGTCCTCCTGCAGTCTGGTCAAACTCATGCTGGTAGCTCCGAGAACACTGTCCAACCAACTTTGTAACCAGAGGTTCAACTGAATAGAATCTGAATCACATGCACCACAAGGCCTATGCAGCCTCAACTTAAGATGGCTCCCCGGCCTGGCTTTGCACTGCGAAGTTTGCAGCAGCACGTGCAACAAAATGGCGTCCAGCATTCAAAAACACCCTCAGCTTGCCTTAACTAGCCACACACAAGGCATGCAAGCTCCACCCCCCAGTCGTTCTTAGACTTCTTATTGGGTGAGTAACACAGCCAAGCAACACAGTTGGAGCCTCCCTCCTCCCTGGCTGGCAGGGAGGGAGGGAGGGAGAGGAGCTGCTTCCTTTGAAATTTAAGGAGCATCATTTAAGGGACATTTAAGGGACATCCATCAATAAGGGACAGCATCGGGACTTGGCGCAGGAATAAGGGACTGTTCCTACAAATAAGGGACACTTGACAGCTATGGTCTTAATAGCACAAGGATGGAAGAATGAGGAAACCCCGACTAAAGAACTACGGCAAGAGAAACTGATGGACTATGCAGAACTGGCAAAATTGACACACAAATTACGGGACAAGGATAACTGTGACTTTAAAGATGAATGGGAACCTTTTACAAAGTATTTAAAGAAGCAACAAAGTGAACTGGACTCCTTGGCAGGCTTTGAATAAACACTCACCAACTTTTTACTGATAATAACCAGTCAGACATCTTAAGGATTTATACAATTTTGTAACATGCAGAGAATAGCATCTATAGAGAAAACAGAGATTGGAACTGAGGGAAGTCAGGGGGGGATGGGAGGAAGGTTGTTTTATTGGGGTGAGGGGGGAAATGGGGGGGAATTAAGGATGATATGTTTTAAGATAGTATGTTTTGTTTAAATTCCTAATAAATTTAAAAAAAAAAAAGTTGTAGTGCAATAGAAAAACAACATGAGCCTGCAAAGAGAAGGCAGGCAGCTCCCATTTCCAACACTTTAAAAGCACCTTGTCTCAGTAGGCCATCAGATTATATTACTTTTTATTATTAGGAATACTTTAGGCTACTTTAGACTCTGCCCACCTGCAATTCCTACTACCTGAGCATTCAGAGGCATATCTTCTCTGCCAGCGGAGAACAAATTAGCTATTGTTGCTGGCAGCTCTTGAAACTTTGTCCTCAGTCAGTCAGACCTGCGAGAGAACCTGCAGCCGATATCAAAAAACTTTCCGGAGCCTGCTATCACGACGACACAATCTTCCATCTCCTTGGCTTCCTTTTTATCTGCCTTCGTTCCGCATCTAGACCATATTATTTTATTTCTTAAAATACTTTATTAAAATAGGTACTTCTGAAATACAAAACGATTCTCAGTCTCTCAAGGCACCTGATAGTGTACATGTATTAAAAATCACACAAAGACACACAAAATTCAGAGTCACCAGCAACACACACCGATGTCCAGTGCTATTTTCCTAGGAAAAGAGGTGCCAGAAATCACCTGTAACGCCTTCCTTGCCTACCTGAGAGGTGCCGGAACTGAGTTCTGGCGAGTTCCAGCTGAAAAAAAGCCTTGTCGATACCAACCCCTCACTGCTTCCTTCTGTTTCAAGTTAGAAATCAGACTACCATCCAGTGTCCAAGATCACAGAGGGATTTTTAAAAAGACCTGATGAATGCAACACAGACCACCAATCGACCATGTCCCAATTTGGATATGCAAAATTTGCACAGACACACACGAGTTTCCCTGCATTGGTTTTGCGCTCCGTTCCGAATATAATCCAGCAATTTCCGGATGGGGCAAGGTGTCTGGGAAAGATTCACGCCAACCCTTAAGTAAGTAATTACAGGATTTCTGTCTCTCGCTTTCCACCCCCCAATAGTATGTCTGGAAGCCCGTCTCTCTCATCCGTGACATGACAGCATTTCCAAAAAAGCAGCCTAATGTTAGGTGTTCTCCTGGCATTCTGCCCGGGAAGGGAAGATAATAAGGGATAAGGGAAACAGATTCCCATGGAAACTGGGGCTGCCCCCAGTCTTCCCAGTGGGCCATGCTGGGAGCGAAGAACCCCGCTTTGCGCCACGGGCTCTGCTGGAAGACTTTGCGGGGTGGATCTCCTCGGGCCACGTGGCGAGGATGCTGTGTCAAGGCCGTCTCTGGATCAGATGGATTTACGCAAAGAGGCAGCAGTAGATCACCAGGCAGAGGGGATCTCTCAGCCTACTGCATCTGCTAATTAGAGGATGTTTTTGCTCCAGAGGAAACGAGACACTTGCTCCTCCCAGACAAACAAAAAAATTGCAGGTGCCGACACAGAAAGAAACAGACAAATACATGCACAACATCCCATAATTTGGACCTATTGCAATTTCCACGTCTGAGGCGGATGTATAGCACCATATAATTGGAAGAGTTTAGACTTGCAGAGGGCAAGGAAAGGGTAGGGAAAGCACCTGTAAAGTTCACATTTCTTTGAGGCGAAGACAACAAGAACAGATATGGATTTAAGTGCAGAGGAGGAGTGTGGTCTAGTGGTTGGAGCGTTGGACTGAGACGCATGTTCACATCCCCACTCAGCCGCAAAGCTCATTGGGTGTCCTTGCACCAACCTCTCAGCCTAACAGCTGTTTAAAGGTAAGATGGAAAGGGCCATTTTGACCTCCTTAAAGGAACGGAGGGCTATAAATATAATAAATAATAATAAGGATATATCTATCTTTTTAATTCATCAATTCCTTTTGCTGGCCAGAAAGATCAGAGTCCTATATCAATGTAGTTGAGAACTGGGTTCAAATGCTAGCTCAGCCACGATGGCTAAAGGAGGGATGCGATAAGAGATTTATGAAGCTATGCATGGTTTATTTTCCCCCATGCTACCATAAATAACACTCTTTGTGTTTAAAGTTTTGGAAGTATCAGATAGAACTGTTCTCAGCATACATTAGAGCAAGCATCCCCAACCTTTGGCCCTCCAGATGTTTTGGACTACAATTCCCATCATCCCTGACCACGGTTAGCTAAGAATCATGGGAGTTGTAGGACAAAAGATCTGGAGGGCTGCAGGTTGGGGATGCCTGCATTAGAGGCACCCAATAAAATGGAAAGTATTTTCAACTCAAAACATAAACAGAAGGCCAAGTTCATAACTAAGCATTTATATCATGCAGTTTATTTATTTAAAAAACCTATACATGGCTGTATCATAAAAATATATATTGACAACAAAACCACAAAACCATGCAGTGAAATAATGAAAGGCTTTTTTTAAAAAAAAAAGAAGCAAGGGAATTAAAACAAACAATTATCTCTCCCTCAAGACAGGTATACAAGAGACAGGAGATTCTGTGCCGTCGGGTAGACTGTGAAATATAATTGCAGGCTTACTTAAGTGCAACCAAACATAGCCAAAGCGACTGGTTCATACAATCAATACATGCCACTCCCTGCCACAAGGCATAGTTACCACTATTAACTTAGAGGCTTGAAAAGGAAAGTAGACAAATTCAAAGCAGGGTTACTAGTCCACATTACCTCCTGCTACCTCCTTGAGCAGGATGCAGGTGGCGCTGTGGCTTAAACCACAGAGCCTAGGACTTGCAAATCAGAAGGTCGGCGGTTCGAATCCCTGCGATGGGGTGAGCTCCTGTTGCTCGGTCCCTGCTCCTGCCCACCTAGCAGTTCGAAAGCACAAAGTGCAAGTAGATAAATAGGTACCTCTCCGGCGGGAAGGTAAATGGCGTTTCCGTGCGCTGCTCTGGTTTGCCAGAAGCGGCTTAGTCATGCTGGCCACATGACCCGGAAGCTGTACGCCGGCTCCCTCGGCCAATAAAGCGAGATGAGCATCACAACCCCAGAGTCGGCCACGACTGGACCTAATGGTCAGGGGTCCCTTTACCTTTTTTCCTCCTTGAGCAGAGGCAGTTGAGCCTCTAAAGACCAGTTTCCGGAGAACAGCAACAGGAGAGGTCTTAAGTTCACGCCCCATTTGCCAGGAGTTGAGTGTTTTACAGTGGTACCGCGGGTTACATCCGCTTCAGGTTACATATGCTTCAGGTTACACACTCCGCTAACCCAGAAATAGTGCTTCAGGTTAAGAACTTTGCTTCAGGATGAGAACAGAAATCGTGCTCCGGCGGCGCAGCGGCAGCAGGAGGCCCCATTAGCTAAAGTGGTGCTTCAGGTTAAGAACAGTTTCAGGTTAAGTACAGACCTCCGGAACGAATTAAGTACTTAACCCGAGGTACCACTGTATACCGGACCATCTACACATTATTTTGCTCCGTTAGTTGTTCTGTGATACTTCTGCAATGTTACCAGAGAGGGGCAACGAAAGTGAGACACCCTCCAACATTTGGTGTTATGAAAAGTTGCAGGATTTGGGCAGGAAGTTACAAGATGTGCAACAACCGGAAACGAGGCAGTGCACCCGCCCCAAAACTTTCTGCAGGTGCAAGATGACTGAAAGCATTCTCTGGTATATAGCCTGTCTAAAATCCATGCCACATTCAGCGCACGGCCCAGAACATGGTTCGCTGCACCACAGAGCCTCCCGTTTCGTCTGCTCTGCAACCCAAGCAGCCCAGAAAAACTTGAGATTCCTGCAGAAAATGCTCCCCTTAGCTCTAAAGACCTCACCACTTGGTTTATCTGCATTGCAGTAGCTGCGCTGCTACCTCTGAGCCCTTTACACTGTTTTGATAGCAACGCCGCTGGCACTCACTGCCTTAATCCTGCCTACGGATTTCTCCTTGAAAGGTCTGGTTGCAGGCAGTTCGGATTTGCTTTCTCCTGGCTTCTCTTCTCCAAAGCTACTCTGGTTTTGCAGAAAAGTCTTTCCTGCAAATCCTGGAGTTTTGAAAGGCACCGATCATCTTGCTGTACTCTAAACATCTGGAGATGGGGGGGTTGAGGGGGAGAAGGCTGTTGAAATCAGAACAGCTGGCTTAGCAAGCCTGGCTTTGTTGCTCAGGGCTTTTGCCAGAGGGAGAGAGAGGCGTTCAGAAGCCTCAAGACTAGGGATCAGCAAACTTTTTCAGCAGGGGGCCGGTCCACTGACCCTCAGACCTTGTGGGGGGCCAGATTATATTTTTTTGGGGGGCAAATGAACGCATTCCTATGCCCCACAAATAACCCAGAGATGCATTTTATTTACATGAAAGGACACATTCTGCTCATGTAAAAACATGCTCGTTCCCGGACCGTCCGCAGGCCGGATTTAGAAGGCGATTGGGCCGCATCCGGCCCCCGGGCCTTAGTTTGCCTATCCATGCTCAAGACAGCTACAGCCCAGTATACCTGAAGGAGCGTGTCCACCCCCATCGTTGAGCCCAGACACTGAGGTCCAGCTCCGAGGCCCTTCTGGCGGTTCCCTCCCTGCGAGAAGCCAGGTTGCAGGGAACCAGGTAGAGGGCCTTCTCGGTGGTGGCGCCCGCCCTGTGGAACGCCCTCCCATCAAATGTCAAGGAAATAAACAACTCTCTGACTTTTAGAAGGCATCTGAAGGAAGGATGTGTGGATCCAGAATTGGCCTCCCCAGTCACTCACGGACTCACCATTAGGATCCTGTTCCTGGAAGACAATCTTACTCGGCTAGGAGCGATGGCGAAAGAAGATGATAGATTTGGGGTCTACGGCCAATTTCATGGACGTGGACTTCATGGAACGCCCTTGGGAAGATGCCTCGCATGTCCATGCTCCCCTCCTTCCCCCCGTTGGTCCAACACTTCCACCGTCGTGCTCCCCCAAACCCGGCACCCATCTGGCAGGTGGAGGTGCATAGTGTCATGCGTCACAAGTCAACTGATTGCTAGGTATCCTTGAAGCAGGGGAGAATGCAAATACTTTGGAAATTAAGAATATCTTTAATAAAAGTTATGTAAAACAGATGAAAGAGGTTCTGAGAAGAAAGGGGTTCTGAGGCTGCCCGATTGACCCCAGAAGGGGCAGAACTCCGCCTGCGGCGTGGACACCTGTGTGTTTGGCTGAAATGCAGGATTTAAGGACAATGGCCAAGGACAATCATAATAATAATAATAAATTTTATTTATATCCCGCCCTCCCCAGCCAAAGCCGGGCTCAGGGCAGCTAACAACAATAAAATAATACAACATTCTAAAATCATTTCATTCTAAAATTAATTCAAATTAAATTGATGGCAACAATTGGGCTAGAGTTCTGTGAAGATTGCCAAAGGAGGGAGTCAGACTGCCCTGACCAAAGGCCTGGTGGAACAGCTCTGTCTTGCAGGCCCTGCGGAAAGATGTCAAGTCCCGCAGGGCCCTAGTCTCTTGTGACAGAGCGTTCCACCAGATCGGGGCCACCGCCGAAAAGGCCCTGGATCTGGTTGAGGCCAGCCTAACCTCTCTGTGGCCTGGGACCTTCAATATGTTTTTGTTTGAAGACCGTAAATTCCTCTGTGGGACATACGAGGAGAGGCAGTCCCGTAGGTACGAGGGTCCTAGGCCGTATAGGGCTTTGAAGGTTAAAACCAGCACCTTAAACCTGATCCTGTACCCCACCGGGAGCCAGTGCAGCTGGTCTAGGACCGGGTGAATGTGATCCCGTAGCAAGGACCCCGTAAGGAGTCTCGCTGCAGCATTCTGCACCCGCTGGAGTTTCTGGGTCAGTCTCTAGGGCAGCCCCACGTAGAACAATGGGAGTTGTAGTCAAGCATCACCTGTAGGAGGGCCCTCAGTTCCCAAATCCTGTCTTATAAGAGTAAGCCTTTTTTTCCAGAAATGTATGCACAGCATGAACCCACATGCTCATCATGTAGGGGGTTGTCCCCACCCCATGCAAATCTTTCCTTCCCAGGATCTCAAGGTACTGCACATGGTTCTCCTCCTCCCCATTCCATCCTCACAACAAGCCTGTGAGGTAGGCTCCATAGCTGTCAAAGTTTCCCTTTCTTAAAGGGAAATTCCCTTATTCCAAATAGGATTCCTCGCAAGAAAAGGGAAAGGTTGACAGCTATGGTAGGCTGGGCTAAGAGATGGCAACTGGCCCGACGCCGAGGTCCAGCTCCAAGGGCCTTCTGGTGGTTCCCTCCCTGCGAGAAGCCAAGTTACAGGGAACCAGGCAGAGGGCCTTCTCGGTGGTGGCGCCCGCCTTGTGGCACGCCCTCCCACCAGATGTCAAAGAGAAAAACTACCACCAGACTTTTAGAAGACATCGGAAGGCAGCCCTGTTTAGGGAAGCTTTTAATGTTTAACAGGTTATTGTATTTTAGTGTTCTGTTGGAAGCCGCCCAGAGTGGCTGGGGAAACCCAGCCAGATGGGCAGGGTATAAATAATAAATTATTATTATTATTATTATTATTATTATTGTTATCATCATCATCATCAGCTTCGTGACTGGCTGAGGATTCAAACCCTGCCCTCCCAGGTCCTAGTCAGACACTCTAACCATTGTGCGACACTGTTGTTGGTGTAAATTGTAAAGCGGGTTGGGCTAGAGGACCTCTCACCACTCAGCAACACCCGTTTGATAATGCGCTTCGCACCGGGAAGCTGGAAGGGTTTTTAATGCACTAGCTCGTCACATTGCCCGGAGCAAATATTTCAGCAGGAAACCTGTCCTGGCTCCCCGCCCCTCTACTCTTAACACAGTGCAAAGGCTTAATAAGGCCTCAGTTCCAGGCATGCGATGTGGAGGAAATGCAGAGGAGAGATTTAAATGAGGAGGAAAGTCAGGGAGGAAGAACAAGGTGCTAGCTGCTCCTTCAAGGAGAGGGTGTTGGCTGCCTTGAAGAAACTGCTTCCTGTTTCCCAAGCAGGGTGCAGACTTCCTCCAGCATTAAGGAAACCCCTCAAGGGCAACTTTTGCCAATCTGGAATTCTCCAGATGTTTTGGGTCCCCCATCAGCCCCTTTGGGTAAGCTTCCAGCGAAAGATCAAAGGAGGCCCTTCTTCACGTGGTGCAAACTGCGGAACTCCCTGCCACTTGAAGGCAGCAACAGCCTCCAAGCTAAGATGGCTTTCAAAGAGGAATTCGTGGAGGAGAGGGCTACTGAGGGCTACCACCCACAACAGGTCTGCTCTGCTTCTGCAGTTGAGGCAGCAACGCTTCGAGCTTCCAGTTCCTGGAAACCACAGGAGGCGAGAGATGTGGCTTGTGAGTTTCCCAGTCATCTGGTTGGCCACTATGAGAACAGGAGGCTGGAGATGGGCCATTGGTCTTCTTATGTTCTTACGAATCCAAGCAGATAGCTCAGCTGGCTAGAGCAGGGGTCAGCAGACTTTTTCAGCAGGGGGCCGGTCCACTGTCCCTCAGACCTTGTGGGGGGCGGGACTATATTTTGGAAAAAAGAATTCCTATGCCCCACAAATAACCCAGAGATGCATTTTAAATAAAAGGACACATTCTACCGACATGCTGATTCCCGGACCATCCACGGGCCGGATTTAGAAGGCGATTGGGCCGGATCCGGCCCCCGGGTCTTAGTTTGCCTACCCATGGACTAGAACACATGGACTTTCTCAACCTGTGGGTCCCCAGATGTTGTTGAACTACAACTCCCATCACCCCTAGCTAGCAAGGCCAGAGCTCAGGGATGATGGGAGTTGTAGGCCAAAAACATCTGGGGACCCACAGGTTGAGAAACACTGGGCTACAGCATGGCACTGATAAAACGGCCATGGTTGCAGGTTTGAACTCTGTATGGGAGAGGTGCGGATTCCTGCATTTCAGGGGGGTTGGACTAGATGACCCTCAAGGCCCCTTCCAGCTCTATGGTTCTATGAATCTGCATTAAGGAGGCCTGCTGCCCACATTGCATGGTTTGCAAAGTCTGTGTGGTTTTAAGCGCGCGCGCGCGCACACACACACACACGAGCAGAGTTTACATGGCTTCAGTGCACGATCTGTATTGTTAAGAGGAGCGGACCACAGTTTTTCTCCAAGGATTTCAGCAACAGGATTCCGGATAGAGAGACTTCTGCACAGCCTGTAATTTACGATCTTGCAGGGCTGAGCATTCCTTCCAAAACCACTTCACAGAAGCTTCCCCCACCAACATCCCTTTTGGCAAGCAAGCAAGCAAACATGCAAACACACACACACACACACACACACACACACACACACACAGGACTGGCTCAACTGACACACTCCAGACTGCAAGAGTGAAGGAAGAGCAAACTGAACAGTGTTACCCCAGACTGCCAGAATTGTAGAGCTGTAAGGTCATCTTCCAGGCCACGCAATAGACCTGATATAATTGTGCAATTGGAGGCAGTGAGAGATTTGACTTTCTTGGGCTCCATGATCACTGCAGATGGTGACAGCAGTCACAAAATTAAAAGACGCCTGCTTTTTGGGAGAAAAGCAATGACAAACCTAGACAGCATCTTAAAAAGCAGAGACATCACCTTGCCAACAAAGATCTGTCTAGTTAAAGCCATGGTTTTCCCAGTAGTGATGTATGGAAGTGAGTGCTGGACCATAAAGAAGGCTGATCGCCGAAGAATGGATGCTTTTGAATTATGGTGCTGGAGGAGACTCTTGAGAGTCCCATGGACTGCAAGAAGATCAAACCGCTCCATTCTGAAGGAAATCAGCCCTGAGTGCTCACTGGAAGGACAGATCCTGAAGCTGAGGCTCCAAGACTTTGGCCACCTCATGAGAAGAGAAGACTCCCTGGAAAAGACCCTGATGTTGGGAAAGATGGAGGGCACAAGGAGAAGGGGACAACAGAGGACAAGATGGTGGGACAGCGTTCTCAAAGCTACCAGCATGAGTTTGACCAAACTGCGGGAGGCAGTGGAAGACAGGAGTGCCTGGCGTACTCTGGTCCAGGGGGTCACAAAGAGTCAGACACGACTAAACAACAACAACAACAATAATTGTGCAATGCAAACCACGCCCAGCTGAAAACTAAGACAAACTAAGTATCCGCCTGCAAAATTCTTGGGAACAGCAGTAGCCAGAGTGCTCACATTTTTAAACAGAGAAGCCTACTTGGTGCCCCTCCGCTGCTACCATGGCAACCTGAATCTCCCCAGCTGCCCTCCTTCCCCAAGTGATCACCGTAATCAGCAAACACATCCTAAATCTGACATCTCCAAGCTGCAGATTTGGTTACATGAAGTCACTGAGCCAGCTCAGAGTGAGGGCAGCAAAGCCCCTCGCTCTGAATAGGCGTTTGAGAAGGCAGCTGAACTGTGGACAGCTCCGTCCCCAACCGCTCATTTGTCCCCCTCCGCCAGAAATGGTCAAAATTGCTTTTTATGCGAGTGTGAAATGTTAGTGACCCCACCATGCGTGATTTCATCTCCCCCCTATTTAAAAACCGACTGGGATCTATGATACTGAATAAAGGCCCCCAAAAGTTGCTAAGAACATCCAGATTTTAAAAACCTCTCCTGCAAAAAACTCGACTGCCTCTTTGCCTTGCGGTGTTTTGAGACTGTAGCAAAAACAAGCTGGAACAGTAAATCAAATACCTTAAAAAAAAATCCAGGACAAAAAGAAAGAGGGTGTTCATGTTCACCTGGAATCAGGTGCAACGTGACTTTTCGTCTCCCCTCCAATAAGTCTCCGTTCACACACAGCTGCAAGATTTTATGCACAGCGACTGCGTTTATGTACACACTGCTAGGGAGACAGAACAAACCTGGTTGGAGCGTAATTGTCTGTCGCTCGCTCTCAGGGTCCCGTTTCCATGGCTTCGTGCCAATCGAACAGACCGTATGGAAACTTACAGCCAAGATGGCCACACGTCGCTTTTAATTGGGGGACGGGACATCTTCTAGCTAGCCCATAGGCAAAACTGGATCTCCCCATTTGATAGAAAGCCATTTTCTTTCTGAAATCACACTCATTTCCCCTCCATATAATCCATTCTATTTGCTGCTTACTCAAACGCAAATAGGATTTTTTGTTTTTTTAAAGCATGCAATACCAAATGTGAAATACCTCGGAGGACAGAAGGGCCTTATTAACTGAAAGGTCTCATCCTGCAATGCACACAAAAAAAAGAACCCCATCCAAAATCCGATGCACCTGAAACTTGCAGAAGGCAGGATCAAACTGGCGAACCCGCTTTGTGCTGGATCTCCTCTCCCATCCTGGCAGGGAACTTGGACAGGCGCCACGACGTGTCAGAGTCGGCTCACTGTGATGGGGGAGTATAATTGTGGCCTACTGGGCCGAAAAAATAAAAACCACTCATCATTTAAGAGAGGCAGTATGGTGTAGTGGTTAGAGTATTGGACTAGGACCTTGGAGACCAGGGTTCAAATCGCCACTTCACCATGAAGCTCACTGAGGGACCTTGGACCAGTCACTGCCTCTTAGCCTGGCCTATTTTCCAGGGTTGTTGTGGAGATGATAATAATAATAATAATAATAATTTTTAATTTATATCCCGCCCTCCCCAGCCGAAGCCAGGCTCAGAGCGGCTAACAACAATAAAAGTAACATGGGGGCCAGCTTTTTCTCCTTGGGGGAGAAGTGCAAAAAATAAATGAAATAAAATTAAAATAAAAAGAATGAATCAAATCAAATTTAACCCCAAGGAAGCAGGCGATGAAAACTGTCTCCTCATCACCACTGCCTCAATTGTTTGGGTATAATCTTAAAACTACTCATCAGTTTCTAGACGCAATTATTCCCTGTTTATCACCAAACAGAGAGGAAAATCACAGTAGTCTAATGTGATTCATTCATCCCATGCCAGTGGAAAAGGTTTCAGGGCGTTTCATGATAGGCATAGAATTGTAGCGTTGGAAGGGGACCTGCAAGGATCATCTAGTCCAACCCCCAGCCATGGGGCTTGAACCTGAAACCTTGGCGTTATCAGCACAGCGCTCTAACCAACGGAGCTATCCTTCGCAGAGCTCTCTGCGCCAGGCTGCATGCCCCAGCCACCCAAGGCTCAGTGCCGTCGTGGCACCCGAATATTTAGGGGATATTCTGACTTAGGGGCATTCAGACACAACCCCACAAATGGAAGCTTGGCCTCTGGCAAAGACCGTCTGCCGGGAACACGCCTGTTTGAGAGCAAAGCACCAAGACAGTATCTTAGCTGTGTAACATGAAGCGGCATTAAGTCTCACGGCGGGCATTTTTCATTGATGCGCCTAAAAATAATGCCAGCCATATTTAACATTAGGGCGTGAGTATATACATAGATAATCTCATTATTCTGCACATACTCAGCCCCTTGTTCCAAATTTGTGCGCAGTCGCTACAGGCAGCTATTAATAAGCTTCCTAAGGCTTCGGCCAAATCGTATAAAGACACTTTTAATTTCCAAAAGGGACGTCTTGTACAGCCCATTGGCTTCTCAGACAGAAGGAAATTCTAGGTTTAGACCCCCGTTCGGTGAATTGGGATCACATAAAAATTATCCGAAACAGCAGCTGTGAATTTTTATCTGTATTAAGCTTAAAGTTTCCTCCTAAAGAAATCGAGGCCTACAATTTGCCTTCGCAACAACCTTGTGAGGCAGGTTAGGCTGAAACAGGCATAGGCGAACTTGGCCCGCCAGATGTTTTGGGACTACAACTCCCATCATCCCTAGCTAACAGGACCGGTGGTCAGGGATGATGGGAACTGTAGTCTCAAAAACATCTAGAGGGCCAAGTTTGCCCATGCCTGGGCTAAAAGAATGAAACTGGTCGAGTCTGCCCAGTCTGCTTCATGGCTGAGTAACCAGCCTTGAGACCTTGGGCAAGAGCTAAAGCTATTTGCATAATTGGTTGATTAGAAGAGAAGGTACAATAAATCATAGACAGGAATCAAAGTGAATGTCTGACTGTCTAAAAAGGGAGCATTTGTCACCATTTTAAACCATGGACTGGTGCTACAGGAATGAGATGTGGACTCCTGATGGCTGTAAGTAATCTAACTCTACTTAAATATGTACCATGCTGGGGTTTTTTTTGTATTTCTATTGTTTCTGTTGTATTGATTTATTCAGTTTACTTCAATAAAGTAGGAGGGGAGAATATGTAGACTCATATACTCTTTTTTTTCTTCACTTTTTTCTTTCTTTTACAGCAACCCAATAAACTATGGGGGGTTTTTTGCACACTCTCCAAACCAGGATCCTAAACCTTGCCTAGTTTTACAAGTCAAAGCCAAATAGGATTTCACTGGCTTGGAAGTTTTTGTTTTTATGACACCGATATCTTGCCATTCTCCGTACAGGAGCTCAAGGTGGCAAACAACATGCGATCAAGCATCTTTAAAACACAACCAGTATGGATGCAGACTGGGGAAGAGCCCTGCTTTAAAAGGCTTGCTGAAAGAAGGTGGTTTTCAGCTGGGGCCAAAAAGGGATGGTCCCTGTTTAATATTCATGGGGAGGGGAGTTCCGAAGGGTAGTTGCCACAATGCTAAAGGCCCGATTACTTCATTACTGCAGAATGGACCTCCTGATAAAATGGTATCTGCTGGAAGCCCTGACCTAGAAGGATAGAATTGTAGAATTGGAAGGGACCCCGCGGGTCATCTAGTCCAACCCGCCGCAGTGCAGGAATCTCAGCTAAGGCATCCATGACAGATGGCCATCCAACCTCTGCTTAAAAACCTCCAAGGAAGGGAGGGAGAGTCCACAACTGCTCGTGGAAGTCTGTTCCACTATCCAACAGCTCTTAATGTCAGAAAGTTCTGGTGTTTAGTCAGATTCTCCTCTCTTGTCACTTGAAGCCGTGGGTTCGAGTCTTACCCACTGGAGCAGGAGAAAACAAGCTTGCTCCCTCTTCCATGCGGCAGCCCTTAAGATGTTTGAAGATGTAGCGCAGTGATTAGTGTGGTGTAGTGGTTAAGAGCAGCAGGGGACTCGTAATCTGGTGAACCGGGTTCGATTCCCCGCTCCTCCACATGCAGCTGCTGGGTGACCTTGGGCCAGTCACACTTCTCTGAAGTCTCTCAGCCTCACTCACCTCACAGAGTGTTTGTTGTGGGGGAGGAAGGGAAAGGAGATTGCTAGCCGCTTTGAGACTCCTTAAAGAGGGTGAAAGGCGGGATATCAAATCCAAACCCTTCTTCAGCTGTGTATATAAGGGGTGAGAGTTTTGTTCGCCAGTGCCAGCACATATAAGGTATGTACCTAGCTCAGATGCAACAGCACACTATGGTTTGCAAGAAACCAGAAAGCAGCTGCTTAAGAGGAAACACAGGAGCGAGGAGGAGGAAGAGACGGGAGTACAAGTCCTACACTCAGCCATGAAACACCAAACCATATCTTGGCAAATTCAAAGTGTTGGTGCTGACCTTTAAAGCCCTAAATGGCCTTGGTCCAGTATACCTGAAGGAGCGTCTCCACCCCCATCGTTCTGCCCAGACACTGAGGTCCAGCTCCGAGGGCCTTCTGGCGGTTCCCTCACTGTGAGAAGCCAAGTTACAGGGAACCAGGCAGAGGGCCTTTTCGGTGGTGGTGCCCACCCTGTGGAACGCCCTCCCACCAGATGTCAAAGAGAACAACAACTACCAGACTTTTAGAAGACACCTGAAGACAGCCCTGTTTAGGGAAGCTTTTAATGTTTGATATATTACGATATTTTAATATTTTGTTGGAAGCCGCCCAGAGTGGCTGGGGAAGCGGGGTATAAAAAATAAATTATTATTATTATTATGGCATTAAATGTGAACTGAACTGCTACCTGTTCTGGAGTGACTTGCATACTTTTGTTGGAATGCACACGGACTGCACAATCCCAAGCCCCCTTACTCAAATGGACGAGGCAGTGGGGGGTAGTGGTTAGAGCGCTGCGCCAGGACCTGGGAGACATGGGCTCCAGCCCCACTCGGCCCTGAAGCTCGCAGAGGGTGACCTTGAGGGCCAGCCTCTCAGCCCAACCTACCTCACAGGGTTGTTGTGGGGTTTAAATGAGAAGGGACGGGGGAACCTAGCATGCCCCCTCGAGCTGCTTTGGAGGAAGAGCTGGGATATAAATGCAGCAAATGTGTAACTAAAACCAATAAGCAGAATTCATTGGGAGCGGCAGGCATAGGGATTGCAATTCTCTACGAGGCCTTTATGCATTGAGTCATACAAAGGGGGAAATCTATTTAAAGGGGACTGTGTGCTTAGGCTCCCCACCAGATCCTAGATCCCAGCGAAGGGGGATCCTGGACTGATCTGCTGCCAAGAAGGTGCTGTTAAAGGGCCTGCAAGACAGAGCTGTTAGGCCTTTTGCCAAGGCACAGTCTGACCCCCTCCTTTGGTAATCCTCACAGAACTCTAGTCCAGTGGTTCCCATGAATTTGATTTTGAGCAAATTTTAAATTGAATCGATTTTAGAACGCTGTGTTACTTTTATTGTTGTTAGCCGCTCGGAGCCCGGCTTCGGCTGGGGAGGACGGGATATAAATAAAATTTTATTATTATTTATATTATTATTTAAAGGAGCCTTAGGCAGCTCTCTCCACCCACCGTGTGCCCAGCTGCGCCCTCACTGAAGTTGCTCCTTCTGTGCAACTGTTTGAGCGGTCCAGGTGTGCCCGCGAATCTCCTTCACACATGGCTTCTCCTCTTCATCACAATGAAGTCTGCGTTAACTCCAGCCTCTACCAACCTAGGGGGCTGATGGGATTTGTGGTCCAGACCATCAGAAGGGCGCCAACTTGGCAACGGCCAGGCAGAGGGGTCGCCGTGCCCAAAGGCTACCCGGAAACGGTGAGTTTCGGGGGAGTAAGATGTGGCAACATGGACTGGTGTCTCGGATAGGACATCCGTGGCTCCTTAAGTCACCACAACGAGGCAAAACCTCCATGTACAGGTGAAGTATATCTCCAGAGGACCCTGGTGTCCAGGAGAAATGGGGAGGGTGGATGAGCCTTGCCTTCACCCCCCCACCCCCCCTCGCTTGCAAAAGCATCCCAGAAGCATCCCAGTCCTGTTTAGGGAAGCTTTTAATGTTTGATGCATGACAGTATTTTAATATTTTTTTGGAAGCTGCCCAGAGTGGCTGGGGAAGCCCAGCCAGATGGGCGGGGTATAAATAATAAATTATTATTAATTATTATTATTATAGAAGCACCTGGCTGGTTCCTCTCCAGGACAGAATCCTGCGCTGCACTAACCTTGGCCGGATCCACGCTGCCCCTCCTAAAATCCCATTTACCTGAAAGTAAACCTCGCTGAATTTCCCGAGATGGGGACAGCTGGGGCGGAGCTGAACGGCTGTAGCAAGGACCAGCAAGGGCACCACAGCAAAGTCGTAAACAATGAATTACATTTTTTAAAAGCAACGTTTCAAGCGCAGAAAAGCGTTGCAGATGTGCTGCTCACGAACAAAGGTCTATGGACAAGTAACACCGGGGAACGGGGAGCGCGAGGACCAACACAGAAACGGAAAACGAGCAAGTCAGACCAGTGGCTCATCTACCTCAGTGCTGCCCACACGGACTGGCAGCACCTCTGCAGCACGGAGCGTTGAATAGCCCTACCGGGAGATGCCGAGGATCGATCCCGCCACCACCGGGCTCCGGCCTAAGCGTTTTGTACGCTGCCCATCTCACGCTGACCGCCGGCACCGTCCCTCCGCAGCGGCGGACAATGCCAACCTGAGCTGCGCAGGATTCGAACTCGGAACCTTGGACAAGACAAGGGCAGGCGCTCTGCCCGCTGAAGCACCGCAGCCTTGGGTTCTAAGAAGCGACCCGGGGCGCAAACGGGGGGCAAGGGGCGCCTTCTCCCAGCTGAAGAGGGGCGAGACCCCCCCAGCCCCCTAAATAAAGGGGGCCACCACCCCTAATGTCCTGCCTTCCAGCCCGCAGGAATCCAGCAATGGCAGGTGGGCAGAAGCGGCTCCTTACCTGGGGAAGAAAGGCCGGTGCGTCTGGAAGAAGCGGCTGCCAAGCGTTCAGGGAAAAGCCGGAGAAAGGGAGCCAAGCGCGGCGCTGTCAGCCTCTCCCGCCGCCGCCTCTTCTTTATGAATGAATGAGCGGCTCAGTCAGCCAGCGGGGAAAGTGAGCAGGTCGAGGCGGGGGCCACGCCCCCCTGGCGGAGCCGTCACAATGGGACGGGGCCCGCCCACCCCCTACGTCACAAAGGGAGGGCGGCCTCCGCTGGGCCGGACCACGCCCACGCCTCCCTGCGGGCGGCCTATTGGCTCCGCGGCGCCGCCTCGTGGCGAAGGGTTGAAGGTGCAGCGTTCAGGGGTTTTGTTGAACTGGAAGCATGGGCTGCGCCGGCTTACTCGGGAGTAAGCGTGTGCAAGAACCAGCACATCTGATTTTTGTTTGGCCCAGCCTTTTCTTGGAGATGTTCCACTTTATTATTGTGGTTGTTGTTGTTGTTGTACTATGCGCTGTTATTAAAATGAGGCTGCATTTTAAATTGTATTTTTAACCTGTATTTTAAATTGTTGGCTTTTCCCTCCCCTATTATGTTTTTGTCGTAATTTTACTGGTGTTAGCTGCCCTGAGCCCGGCTCTGGCCAGGGAGGGTGGGGTATAAATAAAAATTTATTATTATTATTATTATTATTATTATTACTACTAGTACTACTACTACTACCACCAGTACTTTTTTCTGGGAGTACTCAGGGGTATTTGTTGTTGTTGTTGTTGTTGTTTAGTCGTTTAGTCGTGTCCGACTCTTCGTGACCCCATGGACCAGAGCATGCCAGGCACTCCTGTCTCCCACTGCCTCCCGCAGTTTGGTCAAACTCATGCTGGTAGCTTCGAGAACACTGTCCAACCATCTCGTCCTCTGTCGTCCCCTTCTCCTTGTGCCCTCCATCTATCCCAACATCAGGGTCTTTTCCAGGGAGTCTTCTCTTCTCATGAGGTGGCCAAAGTATTGGAGCCTCAGCTTCAGGATCTGTCCTTCCAGTGAGCACTCAGGCTGATTTCCTTCAGAATGGAGAGGTTTGATCTTCTTGCAGTCCATGGGACTCTCAAGAGTCTCCTCCAACACCAGAATTCAAAAGCATGAATTCTTTGGCAATCAGCCTTCTTTATGGCCCAGCTCTCACTTCCATACATTACTACTGGGAAAACCATGGCTTTTACTATACGGACCTTTGTCAGCAAGGTGATGTCTCTGCTTTTTAAGATGCTGTCTAGGTTTGTCATTGCTTTTCTCCCAAGAAGCAGGCGTCTTTTAATTTCGTGACTGCTGTCACCATCTGCAGTGATCATGGAGCCCAAGAAAGTAAAATCTCTCACTATTATTATTATTATTATTATTATTATTACTGCTACTACTACTACTACTATTACTACTACCAGTACTTTTTTCTGGGAGTACTCAGGGGTACGCATACCCCTAAACATTTCGGGAATCTAAGTTTGGCCTCAGTGAGGGGCAGTATTTCAATATGAGTAGGAAAATGACAGTACCCCTAAACATCTTTTTTTAGAAAAAATAAAGCACTGACTACTGCTGCATTTAAATACTCACTCCATTTTATCCTCACAACACCCTTGCAAGGTAGGCGAGGCTGAGAGACTGTGACTGGCCCAAAGTCGCCCCAGGGAGCTTTGTGGCTGAGTGCAGATTTGAACCTTTAATTCATTCAGGCCAGCAATGTATGTTATCATGTTTTCAGGGCAATTCTTCCTCCAGGGCGGGCGGAAGAATCTCTAGGAGGTTGCCATCTCTTCAACACACCCTTGCTCCTGGGCAATCTGCCGCAGTTCGCTTTACTGACATCTAGGAAATGATTCATGATTTAGCTGTATCCTGGGGGAACTACACATGAGGAGTTCTGTAAAGTGAGCTGTGATTGCAGGCATGGAAACAGGTCAGGATGTGTTTTGTTTACGGTCAGTTGGCAACCCTAAGGGCAGGATTGCATATTAAGACCCGGGCAGAAGAGGGTGTTGGCTACAGCGGAAACCTCTTACACAGGGGCAAGTTAGCAAAAGATGCAACTGCTAAAATTCTCACTTCCACACCGTTCTTAAATGTCTTAACCAGCTTTCATCTGGTTCGTCTTCCTTCCCCCAAGATTCTTGGGGCAACATGTACGGAGTGTTTTTTTCTGCCTTACAACAGGCCTGTGGGGTCGATTCTGCCAGCTTTGGCCAGCTCACGGGATTATTCAAAGCCAGTTCATGGCATCTAAGAAGAATGCAAAATCCACCATTGTTTCAAAAGGGCTGGTGATACGATCCTTGTGGACGCCACTTTTATTGTGATACAGTGGTACCTCAGGTTACATACGCTTCAGGTTACATATGCTTCAGGTTACACACTCCGCTAACCCAGATATAGTGCTTCAGGTTAAGAACTTTGCTTCAGGATGAGAACAGAAACCGTGCTCCGGCGGTGCAGCGGCAGCAGGAGGCCCCATTAGCTAAAGTGGTGCTTTAGGTTAAGAACAGTTTCAGGTTAAGAACGGACCTCCGGAGCGAATTAAGTACTTAACCTGAGGTACCACTGTATATCTATACAGTAGGGACGTGGGTGGCGCTGTGGGTTAAACCACAGAGCCTAGGGCTTGCCGATCAGAAGGTTGGCGGTTCAAATCCCCGCGACAGGGTGAGCTCCCATTGCTCTGTTCCTACTCCTTCCAACCTAGCAGTTCGAAAGCACGTCAAAGTGCAAGTAGATAAATAGGTACCGCTCCGGCGGGAAGGTAAACGGCATTTCCGTGCGTTGCTCTGGTTCACCAGAAGCGGCTTAGTCATGCTGGCCACATGACCCAGAAGCTGTACGCCGGCTCCCTCGGCCTATAGAGCGAGATGAGCGCCGCAACCCCAGTCATGACTGGACCTAATGGTCAGGGGTCCCTTTACCTTTACCTATACAATGGTACCTCGGGTTAAGAACTAAATTCGTTCCGGAGGTCCGTTCTTAACCTGAAACTGTTCTTAACCTGAGGTACCACTTCAGCTAATGGGGCCCCTCGCTGCCGCCGCGCAATTTCTGTTCTCATCCTGAAGCAAAGTCCTTAACCCAAGGTACTATTTCTGGGTTAGCAGAGTCTGTAACCTGAAGCATCTGTAACCCGAGGTACCACTGTATCTGCAAGAAAAGCTGGAAAAGGACTTTGCTCTTTTGCAAGTTGAATAAAACTTCTTGGATCCCAAGAGTGGGCCAACTTCCTTGTGAGGTGAGGCTTAGTGGAGTCTTATGATGTTCTCGCAATATTGGTTTACTTTCAAATATACGAGGTGAACAGGGAGGATCAAGTCGTCCCCAACTGTGCTAGTCTGTGGAGAAGCTTGCCCCCTAATCCAATTTTAGGCTCCTTCCTAAAAGCCCTACCAGCTTCTGACTCCTTTACTTGCTATATTTCAAACTGCTTCTCTTCAGCCTGTACCAAAGTAGCTGAGGTGTGCCTGATAGCTAGCAGCCACCAGCCATCAATGCTCAAGCTTCTAGCCACTAGCACCTGTTACCCTTAGCTTTCAGCTGTGCAAAATCTTAAGAGAGAAAAGGTCTTTTTTCCCTCACTTTGCACAGACAGAGACATTGGGAGTGCCAAGGCAGTATCCTAAATGTTGGGCTCGCCTAATGGGTCCTGGGCTCCTAAACAACCCCTTTTCCACAACATGTTTTACCACCCAGCTATTAACTAACCTCTGTTCTACACAACCAAAAAACATGGTGTGTTGGGTTTTTTTTTAAAAAAAGAGCAACATGTAAACAAACAGCAAAACAAAGAGCCGGTAGCACAAACACCTCCTAAACCTCAGAGGATAAAGACAAAACAAAAATATATTGAATGGGAGTTGGGAGACAAGAAGGAGGTTCAAAGCTTTCATTATCGCACCCACAAGGACAGTCTCTTGCTGCAGCCACGAGTCACGTCTGACTCAGCAAACCCATCGTTTAAAGAGCGAGGTGTTTTCAATAATAAAACTTTCCCCCTCTTCTTAAGCCAGGGGTTAGGTAAGGCCAGGCACCCACCCCCATTCTGACTGTGTGCAACAAAATGGGTGCAAGGAAAAGAGCTCCCATTTCCCGGGTCTTTGACCCCCATCAATTTGTGCATTAAAAAAAACCACAGCCCAGGGCTACCTTTGAAGGTGACCCAGAAAATACAATGCGGCAGCTAGACAGTAGAACCGAAGGTCTTTAACATCAGCAGTAACATCTAGACCATGGGAGCGCTTCAGCCCTATTCTTGAGTTTGTAAAACTTGCTATTTAGGTTTTCAAACCTTTTTTGTAAATTCACTATTCCTGAGTTTGCAAAACTTGCTATTTAGGTTTTCAAACCTGTTTTGTAAACTGTACTTTTGAGTCCTCAATCTAATATGTAAGAATTTTGGGGGTTCTACCCTTGGTTGAATTTTGGCCATTTAAAGTTTATGATTTCTCTATTTCCTTCTGAGGAAACTGAATAGTTCGGTGAAACGAGGTTTGTAGCTGGCATCCCGTTAAGGTTTTGTTCTATTTTTCTGATTTTTTTCTTTAAGCTTTTTGATTTTTATTATTTAGTTGATTTCCACTAGATAATATTTATACTTTATTACTTCTCGTTTCAGGGATTTTCACGGTATTTCATTTGTTTTGTGCAACTTCTCAGTTCCGCGACTGTCTTTTTTCTATAGGGGTTGGGTAAGGCACCTACTCCCATTCTGACTGTGTGCAACAGAATGGGTGCAAGGAACAGAACTCCCATTTCCCTGGTCTTTGACCCCCATCAATCTGTGCATTTAAAAAAATGACAACCCAGGGCTACCTTTGAAGGTGACCCAGAAACTACAATGTGGCAGCTAGACAGTATACCTGAAGGAGCGTCTCCACCCCCATTGTTCAGCCCAGACACTGAGGTCCAGCTCCAAGGGCCTTCTGGCAACTCCCTCCCTGTGAGAAGTGAGGTTACAGGGAACCAGGCAGAGGGCCTTCTCGGTGGTGGCACCCGCCCTGTGGAACGCCCTTCCAGCAGATGTTAAGGAAATAAGCAACTATCTGACTTTTACAAGACATCTGAAGGCAGCCCTGTTTAGCGAAGCTTTTAATATCTGATGTTTTTTGTGTTTTTAATATCCTGTTGGGAGCTGCCCAGAGTGGCTGGGGAGACCCGGGTATAAGTAAATAATAATAATAATAATAATAATAATAATAATAATAATAATAATAGAAGATCTGTATGAAGTTACCTAACATATACATTTCCCTACGCCATTTTTTCCTGTTGTAAGGTTTTTTGAAAGCAGTCCCCCCATATATTATTTGTTTAATTGGTTTATCACACCAATATCCCACTTTTTCCTTCACAGAGTTCAAGGTGCCACACAAGGCTCTTTCCCTTCCCTGCTCATTTAATCCTCACAACAGCCCTGTGAGGGAGGTTAGGCTGAGAGGCAGCGACTGGCCCAAGGCTGTCTGGCAAACTTCATGGCCGAGAGAGGATTCGAACCCAGG